CACCTTTGTATATGTCAGGAACTACTCCCTTCACAATCGTATTCGTGACGCACTCCAAATCATTAACAGAAACGTAACAAGTCTTGGTGGAAATGTGCTTCTTAAGATTAGGAAGTTTGGTAAACATTCCTCGAAACTTAGGTACGAACGGCAACAAATCAGTTGTATCCCATTGATCTCGTCTTGTTCTGATTTCGAGAATATGGATAGATAGGCCATTCACGTCTGTAGCACCGTCACGAACAAGAATACCAGGTGTGCGAACACCATCCTTGTGGTAAACTACCAGACGACCCTTAACAAACATTCGACGACCAATAGCAGTTGATAGTGATCCTATATGAACATCGCGAGTCAGTTGCTTATAACTCTGAGTTGCTTCATGACAAGTATCTAAATCTTGTTCACAAATATCGCAAGGTTCTCTGGTGATCTTGGCCAGGTCTGCTTCGGATATTTTGACCGCCTTTTCATGCTCAGGTAGAAGTTGTTGGGTAGCATGTTCACTAAAACTTCTTTTGATCATCTCCTCAATTTTCAAAGCCTCAACTCGCAGAAGATTAAGTATCATATTGTAGGTCAATCTGAATTGAGAACGAAGTTTTGACGGTTCTCCGAGTATCATTTGTCGAAGTTCAGTAACGGGTGGAGCTTCACCACCTCCCGGCGCAACGATTATAACCGAACCCACAGGATCTAACCCACGACGACCTGCTCTACCAGCCATTTGAGTATATTCTCCAGGCAATAAATCACGGAAGGATTGTCCATCATGCTTGCGATATCCAGAAAAGACAACTGTTCGAGTTGGCAAATTCAATCCCATAGCAAATGTTTCTGTGGCGAAAAGCACTTTCACCAAAGTTTGTGCGAATAACATCTCAACAATTTCCTTCACAATAGGTAGCAGACCACCATGGTGAACAGCAATACCTCGCCCAAGTAAATCTCGTAATCGAATGATTTGTGGTAATTGCCGGTCCTCTGGTTTGAGCCGAGCAATGGATTTCTCAATTGTCATGTGTATCGCACTCTTTTCTGTCGCTGTGCAGAAGTCTTGATTACTCAATGCATCTGCATTCTCTTCGCATCTCTTTTTGGAGAAGACAAAAATACATGCTGGGAGTAAGTTTTCTTTTTTAAGAAATTGAACTAGGTGTACCCATAATGTCTTGTCTTGGGCAGCTGTTGTTCGACCTCCAGGTCTACCACCACGTCCCATATGCCCTGGGTTATGACTAGCACGGGGTGGTCCACTACCACCACGACCGCCTCTCTGTTGTGCTCCTCCGCGTTGTTGACCACCTCCACGTTGTGCACTACCACGCGCATTCTGACCTTGACCTCTACCTCTTTGGTTTCCTCCTCCACGAGTATTTGAGGAGTCTGGTGGAGGTAGAGCCTTTACCTTATCTCTTCCAGATAGTACATCGTTTGCGGACTTCCAACCCTTCTCGATGAATTTCTTTTCTGCATCCACAATCTTGTGAATGCCTTTATCTGCCCAAAGGTAATGTTCTAGTGGAACTGGTCTCTTTGGAGTTGAGATGACATAGATATCTTTCTTTTTAGTTCTTCCAACCCAGGATGCAAATTCGTAGGTGTTTGGGACAGTTGCGGACAGCAAAATTAATGTTACATGTTCTGGTAACATAATGATAACTTCTTCCCAGACTACTCCTCGCTCTAAATCATTAACGTAATGTACTTCATCGAAGATAACAAATTCCACATCTCTGATTAAATCAGCTCCCCTGTAAAGCATACTTCTTAAAATCTCTGTGGTCATGATAAGACAACTCGCCTCAGGATTGATCTGCACATCTCCCGTGAGAATACCAACTTCGTCGAAAACTTGTCGGAAATCTCGGAATTTCTGATTGCTCAATGCTTTGATTGGTGATGTATAAATTGCCTTGGTCATATGCTTGGCGGCAAGAGCAATAGCATATTCTGCCACTACTGTTTTACCTGCCGATGTATGAGCAGCAACAAAAACTGAATCTCCGCTTTCCAAATGATAAACTGCTTCCTTTTGAAACGTATCCAGTTCGAATGGCCAATCTCTTGCCATGTCCGGAACCAATTCTCTGAAATTTGGAATGTCTCTCTTGACATCAACCATATGTGCCCATTCTTTTCCACTTCTCTTCGCGCTTGAGGCTGCTAGTGCACCGTGGGGCTCTAGTGCCGGATACTCGACTGGCAACATTGAATCAATATCATCTTCTTCTTCGTCTGAGCTTTCCGAAGTAGCTTCATCCTTTATGGCGCCATCTGCTCCATTTGCAGACACTTCCTCAACGGGTTCTTCCTCTAGGACATTCTTTACGTCTTCAGCCTCTTTCTCATCAACTTCTCCCTTCTTCTCAAACTTTAGCCCCCTAGTAAACCCTGGTGGTACGCTTAATAGCCCATCCTCGCCACCAAAGTTTATGATTTTTTCCAGATTCTTTTTTTCAGGTACTGCATCATTGATTTTACCGGCTTGTTCATCCAAAGCAGCCGCAGCCACTACAGCATCTAATCCCCCAGGTGCGAATGGAAAGAAACCTGCTGCACCTCTGACAAAATCTGCCTTATTTGCTGGTTTTCTCATAAAAGACGTAGAGTTTTTAGCAGTCGCACTGTTTGCTGGTACTGTAACTTCCTTATAACCTGTAACCCGACCTTCTAAACCTTCTCTTGTGAACCGTGTGATTGTACGTGTTTGAGTTGGAGCGAGTTGAAAAAGGTCTGTATAATTTGCTGTTGAGTCCCAGCGCCTGAATGAAAATAGATGTTAATAATGTCCCAAGAAGCTGCCCATACTTTTTATCTCGCGCATCTTGTCAAACAGACAGATGTACCGCGACCCCAGTATGAAGGTTATGAAGGAAGAATAAGACTTACTGTTGAAGCTTATTTAACCATTCTGTAGAAAATGTTGTTGATGGCGTCAGGTACTTCTGTTCAAGCTCCTGTTTAAGCTCGTCGCGATTTTGCTTGATGCGTTTTGGTGGACGTTGCTCATCGAGTATACTGTCAATCCAGTCATCCTGTGTTTCGAGATCAAGATGATCTAAAGCTGCGATTAAGCCTTCTGCCATGGTTAACTGACAGATCTTCCACAGATCTTGGAAGTGCTGTGTAAAGTACCGGTAGGTAGCTCTTGAAGCTGCAGCTTCTCAGGTACGTGCTTTACAAAATTATGGTGGGGGTGGGGTTCTTGGGCTTTTGGGCTCTGCACTTCACCCGCGAAAAAGGTTGAGTGATAGTGTTACCAATTTATTTTAATTTGGGAATCTATACTATAGAGCATTTGGAACAATTCCTTTTGGAGTTCAGAGAAGATGTGTTTTACAATCTTTCTTATGTTTGACATTTCTATACAATTCAACCTAATCGGCTCGATGACATAGCCAATTGTTCACCACACCAGACCCACCATTGTCAATCACTTCAATTAACATCAAACAATCGAGTGATTTAGTAGGCCACTTAGACTATGAAGAGCATCATCTCATTGGAATATGATTCCGAATTAAAAAGTTTCATACAAAATAGTTCATCCCAACGCCTCATAATGCTGCCATTGTACACCCTAACGCCAGCCGCAACCTGTTTACCATCCCCCATCCATATCCATCATAGCTTCCATAGCATCCAAATCATGATCTTCCGCTTGTTTAGATTTTCCTGTATCTTGCTTTGCAGGTCGACTAGGATGTGTATTTTCGTTATCTCCGGCAAGTAATGCTTCGAGATCTTCATCTAACATTTCCTCATCGCCCCCGTCCTGTTCTGCTTCTGCAAGTAATGCCTCCAGATCGTCGTCTGGCGGTCCATCATCCCCAGCTGTGGTAACTTTCGGAGGACCAAATATACTATCGTTAGCACCACCAAAGACTGAAGTAGACTGTATAGCTGGGTTTTGTCGCGCATTCTTCGGAGTAGAATCATACATATCATCGAAGTCCGGATCTTGATTTGGAACTGGTGTTTTGGGTCTTTCACTTGCTGCATTTTCGAATATCGGTGCTATCCTCGAGACTGTTTTCTCTCGTTCATTTTCATCGCGTGGAGGAAGTTCTGGTTCATCAAATAGGGAATCTTCATAGACCGATGACTTAGCTTTCCCTTCATTGATCCAGTCCATTCTCGCAGATTGTATCATTTTTTTGTGACCCAGCTTTTCGACCATAGCTAATGCGTCACCAAATTTGGCTTTTGGGAATAGATCATCGAGCCAAAGTTGGTAGAACGCAAGGAGACGAGCTGCATCTGAATACTATATATTTGTAAGTATAAAGCTTATATTCACAAAATTGTTACAATCCATACCTCATGGCCTTTACCCTTAAACTTCAAATGATCTGCCGCTTTTTTCCGTAGTTTTGGTATTCCTGCAGAAGACAAAAGTCTTCAAATCTATGTCAGTATCTCCAAGTCCATCCATCAGACAAATTGGACATACTTGTGCTCATCAAGTTTCACTCTAGGGACTCTAGGCTTTTTGGTAACCTGGATTTCTTCATCAATGCCAAGTCCTGCACCGCTTTTGGTATTGCTTTCTGAGGTCTTGGTTGTTTCTTTTTCTTTACTTCCAGGAACCACGTAATTGTCGCTGAAAGGATCATTTGCATCTCCAGCATCGTAATCGAAAAGGTCATCTAGATCATCGAATTCATTCCCACCGGCATTGGGCGTCTCGGTGGGAAGAGGCCTTGGTGGTGGAGAGTCCATTGTATAAGTAGACCAATGATCAAAAGCCAGTAAGCTTTCGTTTTCTTAGAATTTAAATATAACCTAAATTCACACAGAAACCCAAATTCGTTGTACCAGACGCGTCCACGATAAGGGAAGACGCGACGGATTGTAAGGCATAAATCAATTTAAATCAGGCAGAAATATACTGACCTGGCCCATGCACAATTTAGCGTTTCGATATCGAACCTCCATCAAGAATTGACCTCACCAGTGCGTTGAATCCCAATTGTAAGCAATTGGCATATTTCAAAATGTCGAATACCGAACAAAGGCCATTTGTGCCTTCAAAGAAAATCAACACCGAGTATCCTGTAAGTTCTCGTCACTTTGCTGCCGAAGTTTACGCAAGAAACACACAAGCTAACTGCTCCCAAGCTCATCGACAGTGACCCGTACGTTCCATAAACCCCGCCAGTGATATCGCGAAGAGGGGAAAAATACTGATACGTATCATACAGACATATCAAAAGAGTACTTGGCTATGCAAGACCATCGGACTATGCGGTCGGAGCAGCGACGGCTACCGCAGGACCGGGTTTGATGTTGTTGTGGGAACGAATTTCACCTTCACTCGTTGGAAAAGGAGGGTTTGCTCCAATCATGCGATTATCGGGAGTTATTGGTGTTGGAGCTGGTTTCTTTATGTTTTACCAACGCTCTATACGTATGTATTTAGATCAATCTGCTTTCTCCGCTTCATTCCCCCGCCTTCATCTAAACTCGTTCAAATGTGCTAATTCATAATAACAGTAAGATTCTACGGTTTCACGGAAAATAAGCGTGAGCAAGAAATGGATATGAGAGAAATGGTGAACAAAGTTAAGAAGGGAGAGTCTTTATATGGGGAAAGCTCAACTACACCATATATCCAGGGAGTCGCATCGAGGAATTCAAGATATGCAGGAGTCTGGATGCATGTTATGCCTTGGTTTAACATGGTAAACCACAATCAGCATGGAGTTGACACAGCCAAGTATTATCAACAAGCCGAGAGAGAGTTGGAGGCTGAGAGTTCGGGAAAGAAATTGTCAAACTAGAAGTGCGAATTGTGATGAAGCGGCGCTTAGGGAAAATATCTTTTGGGGGTGGAATCGAACAACTCGAAAAGGGCGACTGTAAATAGGGGAACTGGAATGATGCGCTTAAATTTTCGGTCGCGAGCCTGAGTTGTGAAATTGTGAGTGTTTTACATGACGTCTATATATTCGATTTTTGCGTAATGTGAATTATGTCTTTCCCTAATATACTACCCGGAGTATATCTCGACTGTCTATTGCATCCAAACCACACATCGCCCATCTTCGATCTTTTGGAAGCCACTCAGTAGACCAAAATATCTCAGATTTAACCCGTTTCATCACCCTTTACTCTCGAATCTATCATTGGTTCCACCTCTAATTTCAATATCCTCTCTTTCTTGTTTCTGGGTTCGGGCGCTGTAGCAAATCAGCTTTGAGGTCTTCAAAAGAATAGAAATAGAAACAGAATACCTACCTCTTCCATTCTCTTGGACATAAAATCTCCTCAAAATAACAATAGCTTCTTCTCGCAACCACCCACCACTAACTTCATAATCACCTTCATGTTTCTCCGTTCTTTCTTCCTCGACTGTCTGATTCGTGCCATCTTTTGCTTCATCTTCGGCGGCGTCATTACTATCAAATTTTCCGTTCCCAACATGAATATTTAAAACTCCACCATTCCCTCCAAATTTATCATTTACCGCCCCATACCATACTTTTCGTATTCCAAATTGTTGTAATAATGATGCACACATTATACAAGGTTCTATCGTGACATATAGATCCAAATTTTTCAAATCTTCCGGCCCATACCCACGCTTTGAATTTTCTCTCCCATCCCCTTTTTCGTCGTTGCTCTCATTTTCATTCTCCCCCCTCTTTCTTTTCGCGCTCCTACTTTCATCCGCGTCGCCACGTGCAACATCGGGAATCGAAGACAGCAATTCGTCAATAGCAATAAATTCTGCATGTCTTGTCCCATTATAACTCCTGTTGGTGGCATTCATTCCTCTAGCTACGACCTTCTTGAGGATCGGATCAACGAGTACACAACCTACGGGGGTCTCATTGGTGTTCAGAGCGAGATTTGCCTAGAAATATGTCAACATTGATGCTAACCAAATAGATGACTAGATTAATTACCATAGCAAGAGCTTCACGCATGAAAAATATGTGTGTATCTATTTCATCTTGAGTCATAGATTTTGCATCGGGTGGAAGATTTATCTGCGATGATACTTTCGTATCAGAGATTGTATGTGAATTTATCATTGAAGAGTCCATAGTTCTGGATTGAGCACTTGCTCTCTTGACCTCCAGTGGGCAGAGAAAAACTTCTCAGCGATGAGGAAGAGAATCCCGTGACGAGCGCAGGACTAAAAATTTCGGGTCACATGATTAAGATTGGTCTAAAAGACTTGCTCTAAATGCTTTCGCTTACTATCTCAAGCTGTCACCAGAAAATGTATTATAGAATGTTGACATCACTATTGGTCCTTTGTAATTTCTCGAAAGATGTCAATATACGCCTAATCGAAGAGATCAAAGAGTTGTGATCACAAGGAGAAGCATAATTTTTCAAAATTCGGAGATCGAGGCTGGCAACGAACAACTGATCAAACCCTAAAACTACCTAAGCGATGATAGAGGAATATCATAATTTAAATCTGATAGGCACTGTCAAGACTTCGAACCTATAAATACTCATTAAACTATTAATTATCGAAAGTCAAAGTTTGATAATCTTGATCAGCGAAAGATCAATTCGGTTGTCAACCTTATCTAAGACATAATACAATTGGAGATGATTCAAACTTTCAATAACCTTCACTAACACTTCGATAATGAATTAAGTTAAATCCAGTTTTTCAAAACAAGGGACAATGTTTCAATGGAAGCAGATAGGAATCACTAATTGCTAAAGATATAGGTTTGTGTATTGATATTTTATAATTGACCCAAAAACCTTATTGTTTCAAGATTTTCATCTTGCTATTTAGGGTTTTGCTTGATTTTTTGTCTCCAGCCGCCTGGCAATGGGCATTTTTTACCGAGAAAGTCTTCGAACCTCTCTTCCTACAACATTTCACTTGCGAGACTACCCCCTATTTATGGTTCCTTTTTATGAAGTCTGATTGAGTCTCGCTCCTGCGATCTACGGGGGATAAGCTATTAATGCGCTTTATGTTTGGAAGCAACGCTATCAATGGCCCAGTCCAGTCTTTACGCTGGATTCCATGTCAGCTTGATTCGAAACTGAGAGTCTCTCCATTCTTGCATTAGAAGCAGTCTGAGACCTTTCACCATTAGTCTAGAAGCTTTGATACCTTATCATTCTCGTCCCAAAGTGGCTCAAGAGTCGTTGTAGTCCGGGTGCTGTCGAAGTCAATTGTCTCGTATTCGGACATCTTCTCTTCCTTGGAAGGTTCATGTCAACGAGTGTTCTGAGCCGTCTTGAAACATATATCAGTATATATAAGAGGAGACATGACGCATCCTATTTCATTTTGATCAATAGCAACATCTTTATCTTCAAGTGAAAGTCTTCCGCATTCCATATCAGAGGGGTATCCAACGACTTCTTGCATTAACCACAATCCTCACTTAATCACCTTTTTAAGACACAAATATATTCTCATAACCAAGCCAAAAATGCATTTCACCAAGCCGGCTCTCGTCGCTGCTTCTTTCTTATGGGCTACCACCTTTGCCTCTCCCATTAACTCGTGAGTCTAGTCCCCTTAAGAAACACCCAGTCTTGATCATTGCATCTCTCATGCCTCCAATCCTACTCTTTCATGAAATTGATATTCTATCCTCTTATCTTGAAAGCTAACATTCAATTTTCAGTCCAACCAAACTCAGAACTAGAGGACTCATCGGTGGCTCCACATCCGATGATAACACGAAAAGTATTGCAGGAAGTACCACTGCCGGCAATGCTGTAGGAAGCGAGGATACAAAAATTGCTTCAGGAAACAATGCTGTCGAAGATGCTGTAGGAAGTCTCAATTTAGACGGTATTACAGGAGGCCTTAGTGCCCGCGATGTTTCAAGGCTTCGTCATGACCACGAGGATGCAGAAAGCAATTTTTTCAGCGATTCGCATGAGGTTATCGACATTGTTTCTTTCAGTACTACAAGGCGTGGTATTGTTGGCGACGATGCAGGAGGTCTTACTGCCCGCGATGTTTTAGGGCGTCATCATGGTCATAAGAGTCAAGAAGGCGAGATTGTCGACGATGCACTTAATATTGCCGACGATGCTACACCTGGTGGTATTTTTGGCCGTACTACAAGGCGTGAAATTGGCAGCGATGATGCGGGAGGTCCCACTGCCCGCGATATCTTAGGACATCATCGTACTCATAATGGTGAAGGAAACGGTATTTCCGACGGTGCAGTTGATGGTGCCCAAGAAACTACAAGAGGTGATGATTTGACCGACGCCCCACGCGGTACCGTTGAAGATGCTGTGGAAGATGATACAGCAGGGCCTGGATTTCTTACTGGTCTTCTGAGGCGTCTTGTTATCCGCGAGAATGACGGCGCTGTACACGATGCAAATAAAGCCGTACATGAAGCCAATAAAGCTGTTCACCAGGCCAACGAGATTGTACATAATACCCTGCATGGGTTGCTCCACGGAATCCTACGCTGAGCTGAGAATTCCGATTAGCAAAAGATTTTTTGGGTGGCTTGGATACCAGTTTTGTTTCGAACAAGATGTTAGGCGTTTTTTGGGAAGCTATTTGGATACACTTGTTGGCCAGGTCATGAAGACTCCTGCGTGGATCGTTTTGTCGCTATCATCTTTGTCGTGCACTTTTCTAGTTCAGCGGATCTATTATACACGTATCAATAGTTCACTTTATACACAATACAAAATACACGAACAAGAATTTATGAATTTTCAATCCTGATTTGATTTCTGTTATTTATTATACTGCTTTTATGCCATGGAAACTCCAAAACATAGCCCCATCAAACCTGTCTATGTGTTACGTTTCTTAATTAGCTCTCGGTCTAAGCTAAAGTGATAATCTGCTTACGCTTCTCCTGAATATTCACAACATCAAATTATAGATTTTGGAATCTTGTTTTCCTTCTGGATGATCAAGAATCTCTGGAATTGTCTCGAATTGTCGCTTTTCGGGTTATCTTCTCCCTCTCTTGTTGCATCGACAACCAAGAACAGACAACCTCAACGCTGCTTCTACATTACATTCAGAGCTTTGGCTAAGACTCTGAGAATACAAACAACACTAGAAGAGAAGACTGATCTTCTCAACTCAAACATGGGGTCACAATATGCAATTCCACTTTCTCCCTCAATTTGTAAACCAGCACACAAGAGTGCTCAAGTTGGCGCCGTATCATGTTATATAAGCTTTATTAGGTGCTATCTTATAGGTTCTATCTTGACTGATAATTGCACATCTAGTTCGGAGATCGGTAGCTTCCCAGAAGGGGTGAAATATTAATGGTAAGTTGGTTTGACTACCTGTGAACAAAGAACATATGCTTTATTCTCACTGATGGTGGCTACGTGCCTTTTATCCGCTGAAATACCATCAAGCCCGTCTTAATTTACTCTTGCCCGATCTTTAATCGTCCTTATATGCTTCTATGCTTCCATCATTTATTCGTGATATTTACACCGTTCCAACAAGAACTCACGTGACCATGACATAAGTCGTGACTCACATCTTGGAACATCAACGCTTCGTACATCCAAATCGAGTTCGTGCAAAGTTGCAAATTCCAAGACATGTCTCTTGCCAAAAGATCCAAAGAAAAGAAGTCGGTCAAAGGCTGCTGGACGTGTAAAAGTAAGCACACATCTCCAACCATTTTCTCAATCCCCGTAATTGCCCCGCCATCCAATGTAACCCCCACATTGATGTTGACGATCTAACGGTTCATGAAGGCAGGAAAATTGGATGCGACAAAGGTATTCCTCATTGCAATAATTGCAAAAGAACTGGCCGATTTTGTGAAGGTTACGGTGTAAAACTTCATTGGCCTGAATCGGGTGATGGGCGGAGACCGGTTCATTCTTGGGAGAATGAAGCTCATCTACCTCAACAAACTTTTCTGGCTTTCCCGGCACGTGAAAAATATCAATTTCTAAATTCGACTTTCGTTGACGTAAAGATTGCATCCGGTTATCAGCAGGAATGCTATTCAACACATCGGTATATGACAAGCCCTCAAAGAAGCCTGAAGTATGGATATGAAACTACTCTTGGGTCACGGGATGCGACATTATTATCTTACTGTAAGACAAGGGGGTTCCCCACATGATGGAAATATATTGACAAGCTCATAGATACAGAGGTTTTGTCTCGCATGATTACTACTATTGATGATAGTTTAAATGGGTTTCGGAATTACCTACTCCCGAATGCGCTTGCAGATCGATACCTTTCATGTCTGAGTCTTCGATATGCTATCCTTGCAGTATCAGCATATCATTTATGGGGGGTCGAAGCTGCAGTACAATACAAAGTTTCTGCTATACGACTCTTATCACAATCTATTCAGAGAGGAGATGGTGGACTTCGAGGGCAATTTGCTACTTGTATGATGCTTTGTGTGGGCGATGTAAGTATATCTAAGCTCCAACCACTAAAAGCTTACATCTCTTAACTTCCGGATAGGTTTTTGATGGGGCCGATGGAAGCTGGCCTACGCATTTAAAGGCAGCAAGGGATATTGGCTTGAGAATGACGAAAGATCATTTCTTGAATACTTGGCTTTTATATCATGATGTCCTGGCAGATTTTAGCCATGGGAGGCGGCAGAGAAAATTTCTAAATAGTACATTTTTGGGAGCTCCGAGTGCAAACCCCGAGAACAAAATCGTAAGTTTTGCGCGGGCATTGAAAGAAAGACGCTGATATTGGCAGATTATCGGTTCGCTAGGATGTTCTTTAGAAGTCCTCGAATGCATATCCTGTATCAATGAACTTTCTGGAATAACAGAAAGGCAAGGGGAATATCAAGATTTCGCCCGAGGACTAGTAAAACAACTCGAAAATGCTCATCAAATCTCGGCAATCATGGAAGATGACACTACCGGCAAGATTGATCAGATGAAAATAGAAAACACGGCTGAGCTTTACCGGCTGGGTGCCCTCATATATCTTCATTCAATACTATCAATACCTTCCGACTCCGATACAATACAAGATCTAGTTAATAAAGCTTTGGAAATTCTGACTAGGAACGGTATCTGTACAAGTCCATGGCCATTATTCATAGCGGCCTGTGAAGTTGTATCTGACGAGCAACGAATCCAAATCCTTGATGTCTTGGAAGATATGCAGAGTGAGAGGAGAATCAGAAATTTGGAGATAGTGAGAGGTATTATAGAAACAGTATGGAAGCAGATGGATCTAGCGGAAGGTAATGGCGCAAGCAAGAGAGTTGACTGGAGGAAATTGGTTGACATGCGGAAGCGAATACCTTCCTTCATCTGAGAATATAGAATAATTGTTGGCGACAATGTAAGATTATCAATACAGAGAATATCAACATAGAATAAAAATCCCATAATACTGTACCAACCTTTTCAATCCGATACTTCTTTCATACTGAACTAAGCGGAGGAACATTGACCTCGACCAATTCTTCTCCAATTCCTCTTCTCATAGCCTCCTCAAGAATAGCCTCGGTAGCAGTAGCACCAACTCTCGTGACTCCCAATACCCTAACTCTTAACAAATCATCCAAAGTCCTCACTCCGCCAGCCGCCTTGATTTGTATACCTTTCTTTACATTCTCCCTCATCAGATCAAGATGTGGTAATGTGGCACCTTGATAATTGTACATCCCATTGCTTTGTTTCACAAATCCATATCCCGTACTAGTCTTCGCAAATGCTACCCCAACCTCACTGCAAATATGACATAACTTCACAATCTCCGCATCGGTTAGAAAATCGTTTTCGAAAATGACTTTCAAAATCGAACCCTTAGACACCACAGCCTCATTGATAGCTTGAATTTCTTTTTGAACATAATCCCAATCTCCCCCTAATGCTTTGCCAATATTAATCACCATATCTATCTCTTTTCCGCCAGCTTCCGCGGCTTTAGTAGCCTCGAACACCTTGACTTCTGTAGTGCTATTTCCAGCGGGAAATCCAATCACGGGACATACATCTACACCAGTTCCTTTGAGGGCAGAGACGGCTTGTTCAATAGAATATGGTTTAACGCAAGCAGTTGCAACTTTGTATTTGGCGGCGGTGGAAAGACCAGTGGCAATTTCGGCATCGGTCATGGTGGGGTGGAGGAGAGAATGATCAATCATTTTGGCTAGGATCGGAAGGGATACTGATACCGTAGGTGGAAATTCGATTGAGGGTGCCATATTTGAAGTCTTTGCGGATTAGATATTGGAATGTTTAGATTGGTTGCTGGGAGACAAATCAAAAACCAAGTATGTACAACACTGGTTGCTTTATCAAGTAAATCGGGGTGTAACGTTAACCGATATCCCTACATCGTGCACGTCCCTATATCGTGCATACTTTTTTAGCTTTCAAAAACATCAATATCATTATCTAAATATCACGACAATATATCTTCAGAAAGCTATATAAAGCTTGCACTAGATTATATTAAAAATCAAGAATATCCTAAATATATTCAGATAGCTTATTTATATAGAATCGATTATACTACACTTTCAAAACAATATAGAGGCAAAACCATCTTTTGCAAAATAAAAGATATTGATATATATCAATATCTTTTATTAAAGTAAAAAAAGACTTTATTAAATCAGATTAATAAGTTAATATAAAGATCTATACCTTTTATAAATATTATAATTAGAAATTTAATAAAAAAGATAAAAGAATACTTTATAGGAAAAAACTGAACAATCAATTTCATCAAGTAGCATAAAAATTGTATTTAAAGTTGATATCTTTGTTACATTGATAATTTATATATCAAGATTAATAATATAGATATATTTGAATACTTTTATAATCTTATTAATACTATTTTATATTATTATTAATTTATATTATTTAAAAAAGCTTTTGCTAACCTCTCTCTTTTATCCATTTAGTTAGCAAAAACAATCATAAAATACAATATTACATTGAAAAACATATACAATTAAAACGAAAAGGGATTTCTAATCAATCTTAGAAAAGCTATAAAAAGAATAATGAGTATTAATATATATAAAAAAGATAGAGTTATAAAAGCTAAACAAAACAAATTAAAAGAATTTATTACCTTCTTAGCATATATAGCTACCGATAATATAGCTCTACCATCTACCTTAATCTATAAAAGAGAATCAGACGATTTACAAGATATATAGATTAATAAGATGGGTATAAAAGATCAAGCTTATTTCGGAACCTCAAGTAATGGGTGGTTATCTAATACTTTTGGGTTTAATTGACTTACAAAAATCTTTTAACACTATATACGTTTAAAAGCAGGCAAAGAATATTGGCTATTGATTATAGATAATCATTCTAGTTATATTAATATGGAATTTATATCAAAATGTAACGAATTAAAAATTATATTATTGATTCTGCCTCCTCACTTTATATATCGATTATAACTATTCGATATAAGCTACTTCCTTCTTTTTTTGATAAATTATAGTATAGAATTCAATAATTGAATACATAAAAACGGAGATTTAATTAGTATATTGAAATGCAACTTTTGGGCTATCTTTAAAATAGCTTGGGCTTAATTTACGATTTCCTATAATATATTACAATCCTTTGAAAAAGCAAATATTTATTTACTCAACAAGGAGGTTATTATATCTAGTATAAAGCTAAAAAAAGTTATTACATTATTTATATTAATACAGCTTATAAGTAATAAATTTAAAATACTATATATATCAAAAGCTTTATTTATTTATTTATTTATAGTGATTAACGTCTAATATCTATATCAAAAGCTTTATATCGATTTAAATTAGAATTTCGATAAAATCAAAACCTCGAGATTATTTTGAAACTTTTTAAAACTGTCTTTACTAATATAGTTAAAACTAATATTCAATTATATAAAGTAAAAGATTTAAAAGAGATTTTAAAGATAAAAAAAAAAAAAAAAGAAAAGGATTTGTTTCAAACATTTAAACCTTATAAAGAAAGAGATTAATAATACTTTTTTATATTTCCCCTTTCAGATTAAAAGAACTAAAATCTTTTAATCAAAGAAAACGCTTGTTATAGAGTAGAAAAAGGAAACTAAAATATAGGAGAAGGCTAATAAAAAAGCTATAAAAAAAAGGAGGTGATTAAAGCTAAAGAGAGGATAACACAAAAGAAAATGAATCGTCAACTTACAAAAGATATTAAAGAAGAAATTAAAAAAACTCGTAAATCAATAGAATCTTCTATTAAAAAAGATTTAAAGCTTCAAAAAGATTCATATACTATAAATCTAACATCTAAAAAAACTATAGAGCCTTTTAATATAATAATAATAAATAAATTAATAATAAAAAAAGAAAAAGGAGTTATACAATCAAAACAAAACCAACAAATCAAGATTCCTACAAGATTTAAATAAAAAAATTTTAAATTTTTTTTTCTAATTTATTATATCTTATTATACTCTTAAACAACTTATAGCTTTATATCTTATTAAATATATTTATTATTAAATATTAAAATTATCATAAAATGAGTTTAAAAACATGCACGATATAGGGACGTGCACGATATAGGGATATCGGTTAGATTGGGTTAAGAGGTGGGGCTCTTTACATACCAAGAATCCAACGAAACGGCAAGAATGCACAACTCTCGGTCCCGAAGATCGAAGATACTTTCAATACAGATTGCTTGTTTGATTAGAGTGAATTACAGTCACATTTGAGCCGAGCACTTCCCTACACCGGCCTCGTTTGCGTATTTCCGGCTAAGGAACTTGAAGAGGCCATGTCTCACGCAAGCTCGACGAGGTGGTCGCAACCCCCAAGTTCTGGGTGAAGCAGTGCTGCGCTGTTCGCCTCATGCAAGACAAAGATTGCATATTTGATTAGGCTTGCGTTGTGTCTGGTAGTGGAGAAATAAATCCCGCTGTCGAAGAGGTGCGCATTCTTGAAAGTTCATGATCAATTGTGATTAGTGTTCGCATTCATTATCGACACATATCAATGTTCTCATACTGGTGGGTTAGATAAGACGGCCGTTGTATGTCGTTCTGAACTTTGCCTTGAGTTCTTTTCTCCTTCCGATAGATATCAAATTTGGGTGTCATTTATCTGAACTGTCAATGCCTTAGGACATTGTTGTACGAAGGTTTGGCTTGTATCATCCTCATTCTATATATGGAAGTTGCTCCTCATGGACCTCAAGATCTCATCTACATTCTCTTCTTATTCTTTTCTTGGTTCAATAATTTACATACATTCTTTTCCATTCTTTATCAGACGCTATACTTATCTACACCAAAATATAAAATCAATTTTTATTAGAGCCCAAGTCAGAAGTCCAACAGATTAGAATCAATTTTGAGTTGCTGCTCGTAAAATGCCCTTCAGGCTCTTTTCCTGAGCTTTTCACCTCCTTCTCAAGTCCTGCACTTCACTATGGCCAAGAAAAAGAACAGCAGTCGCCAAAAATCTCCTGAAGATGCTGCTAAGAGGCTCAAGGAAGAAAAATTGGCAATACTACATGCCAAAGTCAGGCAGGAAATGGTACAAAGACGTATATTGGCAGTCAATGAAATGGCAGCAAATGTAAGTCCAATCCGGCTTCATAAACTCGTTGATTTCGATATCTACACCTTATTCTCATCCAGCATCAAACCCTTTAGTCACTTGTGCAACCTTATTTGAGTTTTCTCAAGGCTTGAATCTTTTAGAAGGCTTCGGGCATTCCGATTGGATGTTCATATTGATCCAGACGTTTAGCATTATTTCAATGTTTAAAAAAAGTCTACTATTTCTCTAACTTCACAGCGTACAAAATTGCACTTCCTTTCGTCAACAGAAGTTGCTACAGGCCCTGTCGAAATTTTTGATCGATTCCCCATCGAGGTCATGCGTCAAATATTCAGGGAATTGACAGACATTGATTCTTTACACTCCTTAATCTCCGCCTCTCGATCTTTCCATGAATGTTACATCAACGATCAATATCAATGTGAAGTATTCTGCAAAATGCTAGTCGATGAAATGACCCTTCCTATCTTCCTTCAAGCGGTTGCCATATCCAGCGATTCAGTACGCAGAATACGATGGACAGGCCAATGGACTGGGGCATTCCAGAACGTGCGCGAGTTTATGGACCAGTATTCCACAGATTCGAGAGCCACAACCTACGATGGAAGCAGTTATAATATGAGAACTCTGCTTTCAATTGCAGAGTTCCATTTGATAATAAAAGCTGTTACTCGAGATTTCTTCGAATCTTGTTTGAATTTGCATCCGTGGACGCACGAGAGGTATGAGAAGAGCGAGTTGGGGAGGCACGAGGAGCTTCGAATACAACGGGCTTTCTATAATCTTGAGCTATACGTCCGTCTTTTTAAACGCGGCGACTATTATCTCATTGAGCAAACTTTGTTAAACGAGCGGTTACACGGAATAATCCGGGGGCGTCAAATTGTTGGTCAAGAAATTTATGAGGCGTTCTTTAATCATTTCAGCTTTTGGGAACTTGAGGAGATAGTCTCGGTAAAAGACTACATGGAAAGAGAATACAATGGTGTTATCAACGAATGCAAAGATTCTTTGGCAAAAAGCTCCCAGGCTCAGCAATACGGTTCTCCATCGACCTTAAAAAGAATACTTGAAGCGGGAAACATCAAGTTGGGCAGCTGCGATGACTTCAGGAAACATTATAACGAATTTAATCGAACTTTTATCAATAAGGGTGTTGAGTTCTTTTGGAAGGTTTGTAACCAAAATGGACCCAAGACGAAAATTCCTCTTATAGACATTCCAATACAACAAGACACCATAATATTGTCTACTCAATTCACAAAGATAGTGACGATTCACTACTATCTGATAGACCAGGCCTTGAATAATCAGCAAAGCCAAATTGAAACATCAGAATACCTTCGATTTCTGGACTGTTATGATCGCTCTCCCGAAAGCAGAGCGGGACAACTCGATTTTCCAAGCGCCCCTTTCACATACAGCTTCATCAGATTTTTTATGATATCCCAAACGTATTGCTTTCGGGACTGTTGGTCATCCTGGGGTTATTGTATGTGGGACACGGAACGACTACATCATATTCAAGATATCTTTTGGCCCACTGGCAACCCACTACGACTCAGTCATGGTCCAAGGACACGTTTGAGCTCTCGGGTTGTACTTTTACCAGCATTGTAAAGTTTGAATAGCGATGATTTTGTGGGCGAAAAATATGGTTAGACCATCAGCGTATCTGTTTAGTTTAGGTATCAAAATCAGCATTACCATTTAAACGTCCATAAAGTACTTGTATTGTTCAATGTCCTAATTAAGTTCTGACAATCAAGCGGTCATTTAGACCCACAAAAGAAGGGCTTGCCAGAGCCACATTCTGCTGCGTTGACGAGTGATTTGATTCTTCATCTGCGAAGAAATTTTTTCTCCTTTCAGGAGCGTTGATAATCTAACTCGTTGGAATTCTGAATTCATTTTGAAAGTTGGAGCTCACATCTTATTTCTTACGTTGGCTTCTTGGGGGTTCATGGTCGCTTGTCACGATGAACTTGAGTTTGGAGAAACATGGTAGTGACTTATATACCATTTTATATATGGTCTACAATAAAAGGGGTATGAATGAATAGTGGTAGTATAAAGCATGAAAGGTGCAATCCGTTGTTATGCGGACGCTTCACTAGGGGCACATGATTTCATATGTTTTCACGTGCATTGGAAGATGGATGTACTTGGACTTCCACCGATTTGGAAAGGCCTGATGGACTGGAGTCAACAGTTTGCTGCATTCTGAAATCAGGCAAAGAGCACGTGTATTGAAGTTTTCGAGAGCGAAGTGATATACTACTACCCTTGAGAGACGAAGATACATTCCAAGCTTGACCCCGTGACTTGAATGTGTTGCCGAAAATGGAAGTTGCGACCCTAGCGCCATCAAAGGTAATGTCATTTTGATTTGAACTTTTCACTTTCGCTTTTCAATTTCGCAACATCCATCATCAGAGAACTTGTTTCGATTATCTTCAATGTTGCCTTGATTCGAGGATCCTTCAAGGAACTGAGAGTAACCTCATTGTTCTTCTACAATTTGATGAGGACATTCAAATACTTTCTTTGATCCTTCTCTGCGCCGTCGTCAAATTCACCTTTGAGTATTTCTTTCTTTTGAAAGTCTCAAAGAAATTTCAAATCACTATCATGGATAATGGTGCCACTTCCTCATTCGTGCCCTCCTGGCCAAAGCAGCCGCATATCGATGGTGGATGCTTCTTGCCCAATGACGATGGCACAAGAACTCCTTATCCAAAAAAGCCCCCCCCAGTCTGTTCTGGATATTTTCAAGGCCACCTATGGACAGACTTTCACGCTAAAGAATGCAAAAGACGTGAAGAGCGCGAGGTTCCATCTCTTTCCGAAGCTGCCATTTGAGTTGCGTAAGAGAGTTGTAAGTACATAGTTTGAGTCAATTGGATGATTATATTCAAATCATACAAAATGCATCATTAAATTGCTTTTTGTTCTTAACCAAAATAACACAATCTCGATACTGATCATTTTGATTTAGTGGTGGTACTCCTTACCAGGGGCCCGTGTGATTGAATTTTGCTGCGTCGAAGGGAAATTCTGGATGGAAGAAGAACTGCCTATCGCACTTTATGTGTGTCAAGAATCCAGGAAAACGGCCCTCGAAGTCTACAAATTACTCAATTTCGAGCCTGAAAATACAACGGAAATCACTTGCTTTGACTACGAACTCGATATACTATATCTGGGTGTCGGAAATATCTCAAACTGTCAATTTCTGTTGGTCGAAATGCTACGACGTGAAATTAAGCGAGGAGACTTGGAACTAGTTCAGAATGTCGCGATTGACAACGACCCTTTCAGTCAGCTACTTTGGGTCGAATTCAAACCGTATCTCCACCTACAATCTTCAAGAGATGATTGCCTCCATCTTGGCAGCTTATTTCCTGCCTTACATTCGCTGACTTCGGTCGTGATACCTCCTGCGACTGTGCCTCTGATTTATCAGCTCAGATCTTGGAACTATTCTGTGGATATTATAATTGCTAATGATGGCGATTCTGGTAAAGAATTTCGGCCGTGGATGGTAGAGAACAACGGAGATCTTCTCTCGTTGACAATTCCTCTTGGACGAGCGACTTGGGAGGTTCAGATATCCGACGTTTGGAGGTACATTGAGCTTCATGGTCCAACGGATACAACTCTACGCATTGTTTCTTTAGACCGATTAGAAAGAGACACGAAGTGGAGAACCCGAAGGGATTATCTGAATAATTTGATCTACTTCGGCGGCCATGTGTGCTTGTTTGAGGCCACCGCAGAGCTTCGGAGACTCCTTCATCTACGTGAGAATGATCAAAATCTATATCGAGCAGTCGGGCACGTTCTTGCGCGAAGTTTTTATTGTGAGGGATCATTGAAGCGCTTGACAAAGATTGATCCAGACGCATTTGTTGATCCAATTACAACATATGGGTGGACAAGATATTGCGATTGTCAATCTGAGCATGGAAATATTTGGGTAACACCCTGGTCATCTTGTAGAACAGATCGGTTCTTTCTCACGGATGAGGGATTTGATATTCTAGAAGAGATGCGGAAGATACATACCCTTGACATCATGAGTGACACGAGCCTTGGCGAAAAGAGGATGTCCAAATGGTGGTCTAAACGCGATGTACTGATGTTTCCAGCTGGTCGAGATACCTCGCTGACTCGGCGCCTCTCAATGTAAAGTTGTAGTTCATCATTCAAGATAATTCAGAACAATTCAAAATCTTGTTGTGGCAGATTGATTGCACTTCTTAAAGAGGTTCACATGTATGTAGCTAGGTTAAATATCTCAGAATGTGAGCATTTAATTGGCAACAGGTGGCAATACTAATCTTCAACTTAACATTTTAATACTTTCCGTTATTTATGAGCTGTTCTTTTTTTTAAGTCATTTTCCCTCATATCGTCTGGTTCCGGTCGGAAACCACAATTAGCGCCTGTAAATCTCTCAAATGAGTAGAAAGGTTTACTTGAACACTGTCAAGACTTTGATTATTTATATTTTTGGAGTATCTTGGAAGCTCAATTTCACCGGGATCCCGGTCTTTCGACTAGTGATATTCAGTCGATGGAACAATACACTTTTATGTTCTTCTGATTTATTCGGCACTCGATACCTACCTTTGCATATCGTTCGATCAGTTTTTTCTTGTAATTATGGTTGTTCCTGTGTAGTTGTAAGTGACACGATTTAGCGCTAGCCTTGGCTTGAGGGAAATGACGGGCATTGGTGGCAGAATACTAATCTTTTATTATGTGCTAGGATTCCTGATCAGACTGGAACTTCGGGAGAGAGAATAATTGAAGCATTTTCATGAGTGGAAAATCTTGGCTTTGGATAGTTGGTAAAGTACAGTAAGATGTGTGTAGGTGGGTATTAGCGGAGCGGTTGAGAAGCAAATGGTCGCTCCGCATACTTTGCATTGTGGGTTGTAGTAAAGCTATTAAAGATCGGATTCATCTAATACCGTATTCAGCCACTTTCAATATCACTCATTCACTTCTGGTATAATCTTAAGTTTGAATTCCTGGACACCTTGTGTTACCTAGGTATGGACCATTGATCTTACACTCATGGCAGTAAATTTGTACGACACCGGGTTCCACATGAGCAAACAGACAAACGATGAGTTACAGTACCATATGCTATGCATCTCAGAGGCAAACCCCCAACAATCGTGAACATCAACCTGCCAAGACCAAGACAACTTCACGGACGAACGAACAACGAAAAAAAAATCCAAGATGAACAGCAAAGAGATCGTCACTGCTTCGCAGGTCTTGCAGGATAGAGTCAATTCTCTCGAGCGCGAAATGGCTAGGAAGAATTCAGAGCTTCATGAAAAGAACGTCGTTATTGGATTCCTCCGAGACGAATGTCAAAGAAACGCGACACAAAACACAACGGTACTAGTAGCCGGACATTCACAAATTTTGCCCCATATTCCCATTTTCGATGTCGATGAGCATGCGAAGCATTCGATTGATTTCGATTATTGGCTAAAGAGAATGCAGTCAAAATTAGCCATGGACCATTATTTGGGAGCTAGTCGTATGGAATACGTTGTCTCTCGACTTGGTAGTGGTCCTTCGGCATATATTGATAAGAGATATCAAACAGCGGAACAAATACTTGAGGCTTTGAACAAGATATATGGCAACACCGATCGAAAAGAAGCCGCTGAGGTTGCTTATCGCCATCTATTTCAAAAGGATAATGAGCAATTTACGCTATTCTGGAAAGAGTTTCAACGACTAAGTGCGGTTCTCGAAATGACCGAAGCGATGATGGTTCATGACTTGTATGGGAAACTCAATTTGAAATTGCGGAAAGCTTTGATAGATGTCAATCTTGATAATATTGAGGATTTGGGAAGGATTTGCAGGGCGGAGGATAGAAAATTGCGAGAAATGGAGGATCTAGAGGGTCCCGATGAATAATAAGTCGATATTCTAAGGATTGTTGAGAGTTTTAGATCTAGATGATGAGAGCCGCGCGTGGACTACATTTCTGGTGGAAGGTATGATAACCAATTGCTGCAAGCTTTTGGCGACTGTTGTCGTGGTTCTTTCTTCGTTCTGGTCTAAGGGGCGTGGGAGGGAATTACTGTAATCCCGTGGTGGCCTAGCATTTCGAAACATGTGATATGATCAGAATCTAACCCAAGAGCACATCAGTTTTAGATCCACAGGACTTGGGATTGGACATTGCCGAATTTCTGCCTCTGCGATTCATCCAAGGCTTTTGGCGTGAACAAGAAGAGAGCGGAGAGTCTTCCTTGGTTATTGAGGTGCTGGATCATCTATAAGAATAACAGGGCGAGGGTAATGGATCTAAGTACCCTCCGAATCGTTCTCAGCCGACTAAAAAATTATTTGGTACTGCAAAGCTTTGGTTGGGAGTGTTGTTAAGCGAATAAGTTGTGGATCTTAAAGTCGGAACCATTCTGTTAGAATGAGATGAGGGACTAATGGGCACTGAATAGCCTCTTGGAAGCAGGATTCCATGAGAACCTTTCCCCCTGAACTTCTACATGACTTGGCAATTAAGATTCCTACCAATAGGTACCCACAGTTATTTGTGTATGAATTTATAAATTATTTTAGTTTTGGTAGATCTCTGGATCATCTGCCCAACAATTTGTTCAATTTTAGGTCTTTTTTGCGGACTTAGGTGAAAGATTGAGATTTCTACCACTCTTTCAGAAGTGCTCTGAGTTTTCGAAAGCTCTGAAAGCTCGTATTGGAAGATTTCTTTCCGGCAGGAGTACTCCAGAAAGAAGACGTGCTTTGAAAGGGAGTGATTGACCCTAAATCTACGACCATAACTCATCATTTCGGGAAAAATATCTGCGACATATGATTCACCACAATTTAGAACGATGGTATGATGTCACCGTCTCGGTAGAAAGTCAGAAATTGCCATCTACCATCACAATATCATTAGCTATATTGACAATTATCTCAAAGAACGTCGTAGATGTCTCACTCAATTAACGAAAGGTAGGTGATCTAAAAGAGACAACATCAATTATGCTGCTACCATCTCCAGCTATAGAAGTGAATTTTTCAAGGAAATTAATAGATTGCAGGCTCTGTAAGTTTTGGAAGCGGTAGTACTTCGTCTCATCTATGGTGTGAGAAATCTCTCTTTGAATCTCAAACCTCGAATCATGGATCAAAATTCCATTTCTCGACATTCTTATAAAATTTTGAGCAACCTCTATGAATCCAAATCTTTTATATCTCCTTGCTTTAGAAACATGAAAATGATTCCTGGCTTGGTCTTACTGTCAACCCTTTATACTCGAACCAATCCTCGAAAATTAATCACAGCGTTGAAAGGTGTCGGCAGTTCATCATCCTGCTTCACTTGGTTGCTCTGTCAGCTCAACGGCGAGTTCTACCAGCATTCTTGGCCGTGGCAGCTTGCTATACGGGAGCGCCTTTATAGAAATTTCTGCGATGGAATTAAGAAACTTCCAGACGATTCACTTCTAGTATGAAGACTCGAGATTGATTCACTGTAACAAATTATGAGCCGTGATTACTATTGCTCAATCACCAATCCATACACTTATTATTATATTTCACAACCACTCATCTCGTGTAATTCTCACGGGCAGAGTATAATAAAACCGTGCGCTCAAAGTCCAAAATACATGCACATGAGTTTGAGTGAATATTTGACCCGAGAACCAAGATTGGTTAGGGTCAGCAATCTTCGTAAGAGTATGGCAGTGGCAAAGTCGGGGTAGCAGAAAGGTGCGAGCATGGTTCTGAGGGTGATTTTGGGTAGGCATTCTCCATGATATTATTTTCCAGATTTGAGTTGGTTACACTTCTTGATCAATTTGGTCTGAGAAATTTGAGATGACAAAACGAAGCAGGATTTGGGTGGAAATGTGAGTGGAAGAAATGGATGAAATTGGGTGGTGTCATTCATCAATTTTGTGTCCATAGTGCACCTTTTGTTTTGGCCCATTTTGATACCAAATAGCATATTGCGCAACTTTATCTTTCGAAATGAGCTGAGTTGATTTCGCGATCCCTAGATTTTGCACTGGTCCGGAATAAATGCGTTGCGTATTTGAAACTGCTTTCAGATTAGATATGAGAAGCCTGTCACGACAAGAATGGATATAAATTTGTATGTATTAAGAGCTAGCTACGACATCGAGGGCTCTTAGATGCATGAAGAAGTCTAATATAAGCATATGATCATAGAACTAGTCTTCTCATAGACTATACTACAGTGCCATTTAGGTTATGTGGATCACATCAAATGACATATATCCTTCCTTCTTTACTCTTCCTTGAAAAATGATTGCAAAGTTGATCTTTGTTAATCGAAAGTTTGTCTGTACGCTCATATACTTGGAACTTCTATAAGTGTAAGTGTGATTCCTTACCCGTAGTAACAGCTCTTTGTTTAAAAGAAAGATGATGTTGTTAATATCATCAAATTTAAACCATCAGTTTTACACACTCAAGAAATCTTTCTTATACTATCTTGTGATTGAACCATTCTCATTGAATGATGAAACTTTCTGACATTAGGGAGTCCTGATATCTTTCCTTTTTTCTCAAAGTCTTTCGATACAATTAATAAGCAGAGTCAGTTAGAGATTTGTGAGATAATGTAGTTTCACCTGATATATATTAGTGGAATACAATAGTAAAACTTTGAATTAAAGAACGTTCAAGGTACTAAAGAATTTCTACTTTGAACTACTTGGACTACTTTTCCCCTTACCCCTTTAGTATTACATGAGTATTCATACCTTAACTCCTCTTAAGGCTAACTAGTCTTCGTCTTTTATTAGGAAAATAGCTACTATCATCTGATTATCCTTATTTACACCCCTTGTTCATACTACTCAAACCTCTAAGAGAAAAAGGACTAAAGAGTATTGAAGGAGAGATGAATTTGATTTTTATTCCTAATAAAATGGAAACTATTTGAGATATTAGAATTCGCTAGATTTGACGTCAGACAGCATTGTAGTATTCACTATGCCATCTCTACCTTATACTCAGACTTTCAAGATATCTCACCTAATTATCTTCATATTAGAGAACTTCAATCTACAAATTCTAGTAGAATAATATAGAATTTCTCCTTTTTGACTTTTACTCCCCTAATTTAAAAGCCTCTTAGTACTGCCAAATGCCTAAGGTCACTCATCTGTAATTATATTTCTATATTCATATAATCTTTACGAGTTAGTCGATAATTACCTATTCTTGACGTGTATTTCTTTAAAATTTGGATTACACCTCTTCTTTTTCTTAGAATATTACTGTCATCTCACTTATATCCTTGCTGATTCATTCAGATGGCATTCAATAGTCATTAGAACAATGTGAACTATTATCCTTTCTTCTTCGACCACCTACTCTAGTACTCTTACTCATACTCCTCAAAATTTTCAATTGTTCGTTGTATTCTAGTCATATACACTCATAAAATATTCAATCCTAAAAAAGATTTCTCTACTCTCGTCTTATCTTGTTTGCCTCTTTCATTCTTAATTCTCACTTTAAAGTCGGACATTTAAAGTCTTTCGACTTGAATCTCATGAATTTTGATTTCCTAAATTTCTCTCAAACTTTTACAAATACAGCTCTCCTCTTTACTTTATTAACTATAATTTTATCGTTAGGACTGAGAGATAGATCATGATTGAAAATTTCTCTTATCTGATAGTAATTATTTCTAATTCATACCACAAACTTGAACAATTGATGTTCTTCTCTTTTCCCAATCAATGATAGCCTGCTTTCTTCCACTTGAATTCGTCTACTCTAAGCTATTCTCTATAAATTACAAATAATAGCAGTCAAACTTTCATTCTGATTCAAATAATCGCAAAATTTCATAGTCATCATCACTAGTCTCCCAAATAAAGCCCCCAAATTGCTTAATTTGAACATGTGACATGTTGTTGATGAACTTTTGGGAACCTTTTAACACGTCAGGGGCGGCAGAACTTCGGAGGTAGCTAACCGACAGATTAAGGTGGATGTTAGAACTATCTTGATGTACATCAGAATGTACTAAAGAGATTAAAATGTGTTCTAATTGATGAAATATGCATGTTTCCTCTGATTTAATGTTCTTCATAGGCTTACTGGATGTTTCCTGTACTCAATGATGATAAAATGAAGGTAATTACGTTGAAAAATGAAGGAACTTTTGCTAGACATTGATGTCATGTAACGCCAAATAATATATATTGATGATTGAGGAAGTAGAAAAGGTTGATTTGAGGAACCTTAAGTTGATTTTACATGGTTTTGAGATGTCTATAGATATATGGGGGTGTTTAGGAGTGTGTATGAGTGTTTCAAAATAATCTTATTGATGGTTCTAGAAGGCTCATGATTGTGGTATCTTACTAACATTGTGTTCCAATATCTAATTCCTGTTATGTTGAACATTTTTGAGGTTTATTTCAACTACACAAAATGGCCATATTTACGTCCCACTGAATGGCAACGGTCACCTACATGGTATCTAGATCAAACATGTAAGTCAGAATTCCATTGTGATTCTTGATTTGTTGCAAAAATACCACCTGAAGCTATGAAACAACATTCTAATCCAACCTGACCTTGTAGCCTACAGCAACACCATAGAGTCCTTCATTATGGTTGAAGTTCCTTTTACTACTTAAAGCACCAAGCCCATCTATCAATGTGTTTTGCTCCAGTGCCGTCAGCCTCTACCTCCCACCTGAGCGCGTACTTGGTTCCTATCCTGCACCTGCCATTTGGCAGGTCTACCAGGCTCTATATTCCGAAAAGTAGCTTAAGTTCCGGTTCCTCTCTATGATGCCCGAAGTACTTTTGTTATGGAGATTATTGCAGGTCAAAGCCAATGTAAATATCCTTCGAGGGCATACCGTTCGAGGTCCAGCAGATTAATCGATGATGTGAACAGAGAATGTCGAGGATAGAGGTGGCAGAGCCTAAGGATTCAGAGTCTAGAGACACGGAGGTAAGATCTCGGTATGAAACGCGCTTGTGTGAAATCTTTGAGGGCACCAGTCATAAATATCTAGCAATCTATGCTTCGGAGGCTTAATTCGGGGTATTTGTATGGGTTATGGGGGAAAACATTCGTAACAGCTTAGATCTTGAGGGATAGAGGGTACATTTCGAAGCGTTTGTACAGTGTGCAATTGCAGGTGATAGCAATTAGAGCGCATACATTTCAAGACGTAGAGGGTTTGATTCGTAGTGTTTGTATAATGCTGCGAATTATGGTGGTCGTCGTAGGGGCATGGATCTCGAGGCATAGAGGTTGATCGCGTTGTGCCTATACAAAGAAGACTGGGGATCAGATTAGTTTTAGTTGCAGAATGTAGATCATAAAGGAGAAAGTAACATTCTTTGAAAAATTGGGGCATACTATCAAGGAAAGCATAGAGAATGCTCACGGAGAAATCAGGAGAAGGAAATGGAGCGCATCGGTCGGTCTTTCATAACCGCTCAACTCAACTAGCCTGATAACCGACAACCGGCGACGAAACGATGGCTGTATAGCAGAAATACAACTCTCTTTGCCGTGCGCTGTTTACTGTTGTGTGGTTTGTCTGCCGATGGGATTCCTTGTGGTCTTCGGCATTGAAGGATAAAGACACGACTAAACTTGCTAATGTAGGTGAACAATCCATGGGCTTTCCGCACTCTGTGCTGCTTTTTCTTAGGAGACCTGCTAATGTCGCAATTGCTGGAAGTAGGATCGGGATCGAAGCATATTGTGCTGTAGTAAACAGAGAACGGAGACGGCCCCATGACAACAATGGAGGGCACGAGCTATGGAGTATATCTGCATAGAAGGAAAATCGAGGCGCTGGGTAACAATAGGCGGGAATGAAGAGACCCAGAGGCTAGGTTGCAGTAGGAACAGAAGGGTAGAGCCAAAAGAATGGGTTGGAGTCGATGGGAAGGGTTACGATTGTGCCACACGAGGCTGCGAAAGCAAATTGAGCGCTCGCAATGCGCGAGGCAGATGATGATGAAGCAGAGAGGAGTCGAGGAAAGCTCGCCAATATAGAGAGGTGGGTAATCAATCCTTTGTTGGCGCGGTACAAGTGGGTATGAAGGAGAATTTGGGCTGTGATTGAGAATAGGTGGACGGCCCTACGGCAATACAAACAAGATATGCAAGAATCCTAGCAAGGAACTCTTAAGCAGCGCAGCAGATGTAATCACAATGGATAGGTTTCTAGCAGATAGCAGATAGAAGAACAGGAAGACTCTACGTTAGGAAGGGATCCCAAGAAGCCTGAAGGGAGGGCGATGAGTGATTGACAAGCAAAATTGATACATTTCTATTGTAACTACATCTATACACGCATCAAACACACGTTAATCAAGCTCAAAATGATCTGTAAACCTCCAATATTGTACTCATTTAGGCCCTATCTATCTACACCTCTCTACAGATCCTCATCGGGTCTACTTCCGGCCTTCCTCCGCAGTATTGCCGGAGTTTACAAGGACGATGGAGGTACCTGAATGGAGGAGGAAGCGAATTTAGCCTTATCATGTGATGCTGTGCTTTGCCTCGCCTTGATCGATATATAAGTTCTGCGCGCACGATCTTGTTTCCAAGAACTTCCTTTCCACAACATCCCATTTGCATCCATCAACTGATGGACTGCCTGTATCATACCACTACTTTGTCTTTACTATAACATACTGGCCTTCTTTTAGTTACTTCAGTCGTGCTGTACACTCGATAAGCTTCTTGCGCCCAAGTTCCTTGCGTCGAATTCAGACTTCCTCCGCACAATATCAAACGGCAAAGCTTCGTTTCTACCAGACTTTTCAAACAATCATACGTTACGAATCTCCCTGGGATACGACAATCGTCATTATAATGACTTCCCGCACTCAGTTCGCACTTATTGAGGCGGAGATGAATAGGAGACATCACCGCCCCGGCGTCGCCAGCCGTAGTCACTTTCTTTGCATTGACGCCGTAAGTTGTATCTCATCCCCCATGACCTCTTCAAGTCGTGCTTCAGAGCGCCGCTCTACATGACTAATATCGTGACTACCAATTCATCATTCTTCTATTGTGGTAGATGCTGACTCTGCTTGATAGATGGTAACCCGACACAAGTCAATCTTGAAATTAGAGGATGAGTTCAACCCTGCCAAGGCCGTCGCAAATGTTCCAACAAAAGCATCATCTGCTTCCTCCTCTAAAGCATCGACAACACCTTTCGTCGCAGAGCTATCTCTTCCAGATCACCTTGCGTTGGCCGGCTTGCTGCTTGACAAACGCTCTAAAAATGGTCTTCGTCAGTACCACAGAGCTCAAGTTTATCTCAGCACTGCTCGAAAAATCCAAGCGCACCTCACAACAACCTTGAACCAAGAGGTCGGTGTTGGAAGCAAGAACACATATGAGAAGATGATTGAGGCAAGACTTGATGATGCGGAGAGGGTGGCAAGACGAATCATTTCTCTAGAAGAGTTGGTACGAGAGGATGAAGCATGTGTACCATTGCTTGACATCATACATGCTTGTGAAGAGATTCGAAGCTGGCTGCTCAATCGGAAGACTGCTTTGACGAATGAAGTCGGCGACATGGAAGTTGATGCTGATGCTAGCACACCATGCAATAACCACAAGGACCCTGCATACTGGAAAGGTTGCGTATCAAATTACACTGAGCCATCAAATGTTTCGGCGACTACAGATACCACAGATTTGGTCGACGGAGACGATAACGACAGCGATGCTAGTACAATCAAAGGCGTCGACGATAAGGCGATCAAATGGAAGCTCAACAATGACTTCTACAAAACAGCTTTGGCTTCTGGTCCAGAACAAACGCTAGAGTATGAAGAATTTTATGAAATCGCTGCTTTGGCAGAGAAAGACCCCGAAGCTATACTCCATAATGTTAGCGTGGAACTTGGTACAAACCCCATCACAACCAGCCAGGCCAAGATCCTTTACGCATTTGTATTCTATCTCCAACGTGACAGAGTAGGTATTGCGAATATGATGAACGAGTACCTTGATAGTCTGGATTCGAAGATAGACCCGGGCGACGAGGAGTTGTCAAAGTTGAAGAACGGTAAGTCAAACCGTTCAATAAATTATGGTTATAATAGATACTGATATATGGGTTTAGCGTTGAGGACAATGGATATCAGAGTCATTGGCGAAGCCATTGCACCTGGTACATCCTCTAGTACCTCCTCTGCATCGTTTCCGACCACCCCTTCTACCCTTTCCGCCAGCACAAGCTCAATTGATGCTGAAGGCGGCTCTCGAAAGAAGAGAAAGTTCGCTGACGACGATGAAGAAGATGAGATACTTTGATGGCTAGTTTGGTTTGTATGGCGGACAGAATCTCCACTCTGATTGATAGCTAGGTTCGTTTCATGCATGGGATACAGGACATGAGTGGCGGGGACATGTAGGCAGGAAAGCCCTTAATAGCAGATGAACGTATGAATAATACAGCCACTATAAAATGATTTCAAAAACTTCCTGCGTTTTATGACCTCAAGTGATGAGTATATTGTGCTGGCTCAAGATCACCAAGTGTTTACTCATGCACTCCTGTCCAGGCTACAACTTGTATTGAGCAAAAGAGTCTCTGTTGACACGAAAATACTCCACAATGGCTTTGTGTCAGTAGCATAATAGCATTGTATGTATGAATATATTCTAAGCTTTCACCCAATTAGCATTGGTGAGTGCCGACAAGCCTGGATGTATAGACTATATGCCCAGAATTCAGAATTTACAAACAGGAACAGACACATCTAGTCATCAAACATATATATGTTGATTAATTCATTTTACACAAGGTCCGCAGCTTTGAGACAATCTTGTTGCCAGACATTACGATGTAGAGAACTTCACACAGCATAAATCTGGTGGAGATCAAGAATTGAAAGGTTAAAGCAAGTCGAGGAAAGGTTGAGTGATGTTCGGGCCGACAGTTAATCCATAAGGCTAAGTCTAGATCCCGTGCATCATAATCAAGTACAGTGTCTATCTAAATGACTAATACTTTACATATACATAGTTTTGTCCATCTACTTATTTGTCAGGTATCTTTTTTATGTCTATTTCCTTACCTAGGTACCTTTTAGATATCAGTTGAACCATATTGTACTGTGTGTGGAAAGAGTGTAAAATTTTCATATTCACTTATTTGTTCACACAATGGCTTACCATACCGTATTCAATCAAAAACAATCATCTTGTTGGTTTTACCCATGACAGATTTTAAGATTTGAACCGTAGTAAAATGACACTAACCCACTAAATCGCTCAGCCACACTGGTTTGTTTTGATTTCGGGCTCACCCACCTCTACTTAAGGATTTTTGCCTGACAACTCAGATTTTTGACCCCTCCATTCTCCCACTTCTACTACCCACCCCAAAAGTACCTTCCAACCATAACGCTTCTCAAGTAAAGCTGCATTAAAAAAATACACCTGCGGATTTTATTCTACATTTTCTTCAAAATATCCAAATAAGTCGATTCATCATGGCTGAACCAGCACACCAAGAGATCAACACCAGCAATGAGCCCAAACTCGTTGAGTCTGAGACTAAGCTCGCCACCGAGCCAGCAGCTTTAAAGGAGGAGTCAGCCAAGGAAACTCCAGCTGAGGGTTCTGTATGTCGATAATTCCCTTTTTTATATTGTTTTCTGGAAGTTTCGTCGGTGTCATTACACTTTGCTAACCATAATCATGTTCAGACCTTGACCGAACAGGCTACAGCCGCCGCATCTACCGCCGCCGCGACTGTCACTTCTGCTGCTACTGGTATCACTGATAATGTTTTCTCGATGTTCGGTGGTGGAGCCAAGAAGGAGAAGAAAGAGGATGAGGACCGAGGAGATAACTCAGGATCTGCCAAGGCACAAAAGGCCGCCGCTGCTGAGGAGAACCCAGAGGTATTGTTGGACAATATGCACACACACACACACACAAGAAGAGAACTGATCATATCGTAGGATGAGGCCCCAGAATCCGAGGATGTTCACTTCGAGCCAGTTATTCGTTTGACCGAGAAAGTCGATGTTAAGACCAACGAGGAACTCGAGGAACAAACCTTCAAGATGCGCGCTAAGCTCTTCAAGTTCGTCAAGGATACTCAAGAGTGGAAGGAGCGTGGTACTGGTGATGTCCGATTCTTGAAGCACAAGGAGAACGGAAAGACCAGATTGGTTATGAGACGAGACAAGACTTTGAAGGTCTGCGCCAACCACTATGGTATGTTTGCGGCATTGAACAGTATTATATAGAACTTGGGCTAACGGTTAAAAGTTGTTCCTGACATGAAGTTGTCTCCAAACGTTGGTAGTGATAGAAGTTGGGTCTGGAATGCCGCAGCAGATGTTAGTGAGGGCGAGCCAGAGGCACAAACTTTGGCTATCCGTTTTGCCAACTCCGAGAGTAAGCATCTATGCCGCAGATACAAATATTATATGGAAGCTGACATTTACCTAGACGCAAACCTTTTCAAGGAGGCTTTCATCAAGGCTCAACAAGAGAACGAAGTTTTCTTCAAGGCCTAAACGATAGATTGGTCCTCGTATTTACTTCAACTTTCCAAAACGACTCCTCAATCGACACAGCATAATCCAGCACAGCACGTTTCCTGAAGGAATGAATTTATGATCACATTTGCATTAAACCGCATTTCTTCCATACCCCGTTAACCATTTACGCGCACGTTGTCGAAAACCTCTTTTGTAAACATCGACAAATCGATACCTAGACATTCTGGTGGTCAGGTTTTCCCCAAAGATTGTATCATGATGATGATGACGATGATGGAGGATAGGAAGGTTCGATTAGTACTCAATTTTGAGACTATGGCATGTAGTTAGACTAAAAATACCAGTCCTTCATTCATCCCCAAAGCACTTACTGCTTTGTATATATTTTGAGATGTGAACATTGAGACTTGTATGTATTATGGACCTTTTTTGACTGGATTTGTTCGAAGCAGATGTAGAATAGACAAATGTATACCTAGCTAGGTAGGTACTGTGTTCGTTCTTTCGACTCTTGAGGAGAATGTCTTATTTTGAGTGAATAAGCTTCGAGGTTTATTTCATCAAGAGAACAAACAAAGCTGAAGTCAACTAGTACTCAAAATCTTAACAAAACTCACTCAAATCTTCGACGATTTGGATATTGATTCTCTTCCAAATCCCTAGAATTGATAAATTCCTTCTCCAGGTACACGTGATTCTCTATTCTCAATAGTCTTGAGCTTGAACTAGCAAGGGTATCAGTACCCCACTCAAATTACGATCAGCCAACTGCAGGCGCGTCGCAATTGAGAACGACATCATCAAGAATTCGAAAATCCGACAAAGCTTATACCATCAAAATACCGTCAAGATGGTGGCAGAAGTGAGTAATTTGAAAATGCTCAGCTTTCAGTTCTCCAATAGCACTTGGAACGTAATTACTAACTGCGGCGCAGATTAAAAGAATGATCAAGCTCGTCACAGAGCAGCGCAACATGTAGGTCGCGATCTAGCTTTCAATTTACCAATCTTATACTGGATCTTGAGAATACATGCTGAAACTCACCCCACAGAGATAAACCAGCGCTTCAAGAAGGGTTTCCAATGAAATCATGGAACATCGAAATCTTTATGTTAGATGAAAGTGGAAACGAGAGGCCTGCGACCTGCTTTACAAAGGCAGTTTACAATCTACATCCTACCTTTCCAAATCCAACCCAAAGTAAGTTTACGAGCTACAAATTTTTCTTGCACGCGAAGCTTGTCAAGTTCTCGATTTAACGTTTGCCACCACACAGCTTTTACTGAGGCTCCTTTCCGCTGTGAGAATGAGGGATGGGGAGAATTTGACATGACGATCGATTTATTCACTACTCCAACGGGAGGCAAGCATAGCATTGCACACGATCTCAACTTTGCCAAGAGCCGCTATGAAGCTAAACATCCAATTACATTCAAAAACCCAAGTCGAGAGCTGATTAATTCATTGAGAGAGACCGGGCCAGTTCCAGGAGACGAAAATGGAGCCATTAGAAAGAAGGACGCCGATGGAAAGAAGAGGAAGAGGACTGGCCAGGTAGATATGGAGAAGTTGGCAGAAGGATTGGTCAAATTGCAGGAGGATGACCTCTTGCATGTGGTGCAAATGATTCATGATAATAAGAGCGAGGAAACATATACGAAGAATGATGTTGAGAGTAAGTTCGAGTCGAGGCGCTATTAATGAAAGCTAAGAGGGTAATGCTAACGCAAATAATGCAGTGGGAGAGTTCCATGTCGATTTGTATACATTACCAGACTCATTAGTGAAGATGCTTTGGGATTTCGTCCAGACCACGCAAGGAAAAGGTTACTAGATAGGAGATGATATTTCAACGAATATGGAGAAAGCTAGCGATAATACACACATTTGGGAGGAAAGCAATATACTAGGTAGGTATTGAAATTGGATCATGGATGGTTGATGGATGCATTCAATTATGGCAGCTACTTCGAAAAGCGTTTTTCACAGACATTTTACTCAAGCAAAGGGGGGACTCATCATTCACAAGTCCAACTTCCACGGCGTTCCAATTTTCATTATCGGGCATAGGATGGCATTTCGATTGCTTCATTTTTTAGTTACTTTTTCTCGTCTTCATTGAAGGAAGGCGGTAGGGCGTGAGCGGGTGGGCGTATTCCGTCAGGTCCATCTTGCAGAAGATCGCGTTACATGACTTGCTCTTGGTCAATATTTTTCTACGAAGCACAGTGACCGGGACGGTGGATCTGATCAGATCATGGTGGTTCACGGGATACATAACTGACAAAATTGAATGAATGGATGAACGAATGGATGGATGGTAGGAGGAAATTGAATAGGAATGGAATGGAATCTTTATAAAACACTGGTATATTTCGTTGTGATTTTGTGGTATTCATACGTGAATACGTGATTCTATCCATGTATTTCTCTTATCAATGCTGCAGACCAGCGGGACTACCTAGGTAGGTAGATTGGCTAACTAATAATAGCCGGGTATCATTCCAAATCCAAACGCCATTTTCCCCATATGCTCCTCTAAAATGCTTTATCAAATGACTCCCATAATATTCCTTCAAGATACCCAAGTCTATATCTTCTTACTCGTCATCTCCGAAACTCAACTTTATCTTTTTACCCTTCTTCGCCGCAGCTTTAGGTTTTGACTTTGATGTGGCTGTAGCTCCAATTTTACCACTTTCGCTCTTCTTCTGAGTCCCCGTATCTTTTTTACTCGAGGATTTATCATCACTTTTCTCCTCTTCCTCTCCCATCTCAATTTCCTCCTCCTCCAACCCTCCAATAACCTTCCCAACCTTCCTCTTCTTACTCCCTCCTATCCCTACCGCCATCTTCGCACTCTCTTTCTTTTCCATCTCATCTCCCTCTCCCCTCTCACCCTCATTTTCCTTCACCCCCCCTTCTTCTTCTCCTTTCCGTTCCTTCTCCCGTCTCTCCCACTCCTCTTTACTCCACGTCTCGCCGCTCACCTCGTCGAAAACCACGGGCTCGCTTTCCCGCTCCGCGTCTTCGTCTATGGGTTTGCGCGGACGCGAAATGGTGAATTCGTGGCGCCCGTCGGAGGTGGAAGCGTGGTTGGATTGGAGACGTTGGAGGAAGGGGGGGAGGGTGCTGTCGTAGGAGAGGTTTTTGGAGGTTATTTTTGACATGGTGGGGGTGGATTGGTGTGGTGGGTGAGGTTTGATGTTTGATGGTGGATTTTGACTAACTTGTTGGATGGGGTATTGTTTTTGATTTTGATATCAGTATCGATATGTGACGGGAGACCCCAGACAGATCCGAAGCTTTAAAAAATTGTACGGCGGGGTGGAGATAGCTTTGGTGCTGTTTTTATACGGTACGGATGTCGAGATTGAAGTTGGAGTTGGGGTTGAAGGATGATTGATTGTATTAGTAAGAAGGTATAACGATTGGCCAATGGGGATAGGTAACATTTTTTCCGTAGTTGGGATGGAAAAGGAGAACTGGCTTTTCTTTAGGATGGATGACTGGATTGGGATGGGATTGAAAATCTCCGATTTGATGTGTGTGGCTTTTGGGGTGGACGATGTATCTATCATGTACGCTATGGGAAAAGAAGGGGGTTCTAGAATGATTTTATGTTATGCGCTTGGGACGTATTGTATATCTTGTATGTATGTGATATGTATAAGTACGAAGCTACCTCGTGTCTATGAAGCTCACAACTGAGTCAAACATATCGATATCAATGATGGATCCATGCCTAAGGTTATCAAGAATCTTCCCACCAAGATATCCTTATAACGTGGTTTAACACCGAGTGCACATATCACCGAGTGCACCACGAATTTTACATACAAAATACGTCTGTGCGTAACCGTGCACTTTCTTTATTTAATAATATAATTTTTCAACATTTTGAAATTGTAACATTTAATTATATAAATATTATAATGTTTAATTATTTATCAAAAATTTGAATTAATATAGTAGTTATTATAGAGATAGTTTTGTTGTAACGAAAAGCGTGACAATTTCCACTTTTTAATAGAAGATAACAGATATCTTATATAAAAACTTAATATTTTTATAAAAGATCTTTTCTTATTAACAAATCTTTTTGCTTTTTTAAAATATTGATTAATTATTAAAATACAAATATTAGGAAAAGGCTAATTTTGGTGTATTTTGAAGTGGTGCATTCGGTGATATGGTGCACTCGGTGTTAAACCACGTTAGAGATAGTTTTCTTGTAACGAAAATCGTGACAATTTCTACTTTTTATAGAATATAACAGATATTTTTATATAAAAACTTAATATTTTTATAAAAGATCTTTTCTTATTAATAAATCTTTTTTGCTTTTTAAAAAATATTGATTAATTATTAAAATATAAATATTAGGAAAAGGCTAATTTTGGTGTATTTTGAAGTGGTGCATTCGGTGATATGGTGTACTCGGTGTTAAACCACGTTATTCATTTATCCGTTATTGATTATGTCAAAACTTCCATATGAGGATACCGACGTACAGTTATCGAAATGGGGTTTGGATAAGAGGCAATAATTGGGATTACTTTTTCTAGTCGTAATTCATTTTGCTCTGTGATTGCTTGTGAGCTGCTATTGGGATGCATGTACGAAGTATTATTGACTACCTACTTAACTATCTAGTAATAGAAGTCAACCTTTCCATGATACCATATCAGTAAGATTGAAGTGACCTACCTACCTACCTATCCTATCGTCCAGTCTTCGGGATTCAATTCCATCCGTTTTGTTAGTATTGTTAAGTAGTTCCTGTCAATCTTGTCAATCTTGTCAGTCTCGTCTCGTTTCGTATAGAACATCTGAATATCAAATATCCAATATCCAACACCCAACATCTTCTACTATCATTTCTCTCCCTCGCTCATCCATCCCAGGACTTTCCTCTCCACTTTTTACCTACAATTCCTCCAACCTTAACCTAAAACAATAATCCCACACCTACGGCACATCTACTGGCACACCTACACCTACTCCCACACCCACATACCCCACACACCACACACCACACACCACACACCACACACCAAAATCTGAACACTTCTCTGGCCTAACAAACCCTTCCAGAAATACTCCATACCCGCAAATAACCACAGTCCACCTCATCTCACTTCCCTTTTCTCTAAATCCCCCAAGTCGTTCTAGCCCATCCACATCCATTGATTGATTGATTGATTGATTGATTGCATTGCAACACACGACAGACAGTCAGTCAGTCAGTCAATTCACAATAACGAATTCCTCTGGAAATTTGCATGTCATAATATTTTCAAGTTTCTTCTCGCCATCAACAGAACAGATTTATTTCTTTTATGTTGACGGCAGAAACTCCTCAAAATAATCATAGACACGTTGAGGTTATCGCAAAAGTGTTTCTTCTATCTTCGAGGACACCCAAGGTCCAAGTCGCTCGTTATTAGAAAAAGTATCATCGCTTTTTATGAGAAAGGAATAGCGACTCTGCCAAAGGAATTCCCCCTTGGAATCATTTCGATTCGAGATTCCATTATACACTCTATTCCAATTACTTTTTGTAATATTATCAATTAATCCAGATACGGCACACACTGGGTAGTGTCCTCTTCTTTTAACGGCCTGGGGTCGACATAAATTCCCCCTATCTATCTCGAAATTTTGTCTACGAACGGATCCTCAACTATCTCAACCACAACCACCATGAGTTTCGTTCAGAGGGTGATGAAGCGCATGCCTTCATCAACACAATTACCATTGGATGATGTGAAGGAGAAGCCAAAAACCACATCTAGATTGGCGTTTTTCAGGCGGCCGCTTCGATTAAAGGGCAATTCCAGCATTTCGATACCACTCGGCGTAGTTCTATTATTTCCATGTATTGTCGTTGTATTGATTTTGGTGCTTTTTGTTCGCCATCCTAAATCGGGTGTGGGAATTTTAATGCCAGCTGGAGCACCACCAGCTATCAGGTATGTTTTGGGATCAATCAATCTTTCTTCTCTCTCGAAAGACCACGGTCACTAACCTTTTTGTGTGATTGTAGGAGGATCAGTGAACAACATGATAAGGTCTTCGTGACGGGATGCGCGGAGCCCGATACCAGTCAACCAAGAGCCAATGCAGCATTCGTTGTGCTAGCAAGAAATAAGGAATTGGAGGGAGTCATTCAATCAGTGAAATCAATCGAAAGGCATTTCAATCGATGGTATCATTACCCCTACGTTTTCCTCAACGATCAAGAATTCAACTCGACATTCAAGGAAGTTATTCAAAACTATACCAGTGCGCCATGTGAATTTGGAACCATCGACCCTAAGCATTGGGGATTCCCAGAATGGATTGATCCCAAGGTTGCCAAAGAGGGTATTGCAAAACAAGGTGATGCTGCAATTATGTATGGTGGTATGGAAAGTTACCATTCCATGTGCAGATTTTATTCAGGGTATGCCCACGAACCACAATTATGAGCTTGAGGGAAATGAGGAAATACTGACAAGCGACTAGATTCTTTTACAAACATGAGCTTCTGGCTAAATATGAGTGGTACTGGCGACTGGAACCAGAAATTAAGTATTTCTGTGATATTACATAGTATGTCTTACTTTCATGGAGCACCTATAGATCAAGCTAACAAATTTATAGTGATCCTTTCCTTAAGATGATCGACTCGAATAAGACTTATGGTTTCACTATTGCCGTTAAGGAATTGAAGGAAACGGTTCCAAATATCTTCCGTTACGCATCTGCATATAAACGAGTCAATAACATTACATCTCAAGGTCTATGGGAAATGTTCGTCGAGCCTCCTCCTGAGGAGCCCAAAGAGGTCCCTGAAGATGATCCAGCTTATAAAAGACCATTACCTGAGGAAATTCTTCGAGGCGATCCATCTCGCGCATCTTTGCCAGAAATTGATCCAGAAGCTATGGAAGGAGAAAAGTACAACATGTGTCATTTCTGGTCGAATTTCGAAATTGCTAGACTTAGTTGGTTCAGAAGTAAGGAATATGAAGACTTCTTCCAAATGATGGATCGCAGTGGTGGATTTTGGATGGAGAGAGTAAGTTAATATCTTGAAGGTTTCCAGTATTAGACTAACAATAAATCAGTGGGGTGATGCACCCATCCATTCTTTAGCCGCTGGTGCTCTCCTCGCCCCTCGCGATATTCATTACTTTCGTGATTTTGGCTATAGACATACAACTATTCAACATTGCCCAGCAAACGCACCCGCACGTCAAAGAGCGCGCGAACCTTATCTTGAAAAGACAACATTAGACGAGAAGAAACGAAAGGAAGAAGATGAATACTGGGACAATTGGGATCCAGTCAAGGAAAATGGAGTTGGATGTAGATGTAGATGCGACACGGATATTGTGGATGTAGAAGGCAAACAAGGAAGTTGTTTGGCAGAATGGGTAGATGTTGCAGGAGGTTGGGCTAGTCCTTGAGAAGATTAATCGAGGGGTGAACGATAGGATAGGATGTATTGAGGAAACCATGTCATGTCATGAATGATATTGGAAGGGGGGGGGAAGGGAAGGGATAGGGTTTTTAGAGAACCCTATTTTGGGGATGGAAATGGAAATGGATGGAGAGTGATGATAAGAGGAATCGAATGATGGATGGCTGGATGGCTGGATGGATGGATGGATGGATGGATGGATGGGATGGGGAATTGGAATGGGAAAGAAATGGGATTGTAAAGGATGTGATGTTGCATATTATCTTTTTTTTTAAACTGTTCATTATTCATGATGAGAAACACAAAAATGATTCCTCCTGGTCTGATTTTGTTTTTGTGGTTGTGATTTGGGGGGTGTGTATCTTGGGTAGATGGGTGATTTGTAAGATGTAATATGTGAGGATTCTCGGATTTGAGATTTTAGATTTTGAATTTTTCTTAGGATGGGGAAGAATAATGGGGATGAATTGGAATAATGTTAGAATGTGTTATGTTGTATTGTATTGTATTGTTCATGGAATTATAATTGATTGAATGAGTAAGTAAATAAATAGTAATTGTAGGATTGTGGATTTTGGGAAATGGAAATAAGATAGGTGGGTGGGTAGATGGGTGGATGGATCGATAGATATATATATAAAGAGATAGATAAGTTAATAAATAGAATAAATAGATAAATAAATAGATGAATATATAAAGAGATATATAAAGAGATAAATAAATAGGTAGATTGAAAGTTAAAGTAGAGGTTTGGTTTAGGGGTGAGAGATGAAGGGAGAGGGGAATAGAGGGTGAGAGATGAAGGGAGAGGGAGGGGAAGATGGGGGAGATGGGGGAAGAGTTAGAGGAAAGGGTGAGAGTGGTGGGAGTGAGAGGGTATGGGGAGAGGGAGGAGATGGGGGATGGGAAGAGGGGAGAGGGAGAGGAGATGGGGATGGAAGAGAAGGGAAAGGAGGGGAGTGAAGAGGAAAGTAGATTTATAGGTAGATTTAAATAATTGTAGTTATGGTGATTATGAGATGAGAGTAGTGGAGTGGTGAAGTGAAGTGATGGAGTGATGGAGTGATGGATGATGGAGTGTTGGAGTGTTGGTGATGGTGATGGTGATGATATGTATAAGAGTTTGAATTGAGTTGGATTAAGCTGAGTTCTTGATTTTTTTCATTTTTATAATTAGATTGAATTGAGTTAATTCGATTTCAGGTGAGAGAGTTGTTAGAATTTAGAAGGAAATATTTAGAGTTTGAGGTTTTTAGTTTGGGATTGTGAGTCGAATGAAGGTTCTCGGATAGTTTTTAAGAGGGGGGTGAGAGGATGATGGATGATGGGAAGGGAAGGGAAAGAGAGGGGAGGGGAGAGAATGGTATATACATAATTCAACAAATAAAAGAGGGGAGGGGGAGGGCGATTTAGCGAAGAGTGAGAAGCGAACCTAACGAGATACTGAGTATTTTTGAGAGGTGTAGGGGGATAGGGAGTAAGTGTTATAAATGATGAATAATAGATAATAAATAGAAGTGAATAAGAAAGTAAGTAAATAAGTAAATAGAACATAAATAATAATAAGCTAAAGAAGGGAAATAAATCCAATTTTGTATACAGATAGATGACTAGCTCGACCGGACAATAGAACGAAAAGCATCACCAAATCCCCAACACTATGCTCAATCATTTACTATATAGTTAACTACATATGGACCTGGAAGTTAGATTGTAAATATAAAGTTGGGATGGTATTCGGGATCTGCTGCTTTGGAGGATTGAGATGGTGATGTGGTGGGAGTTTGGAGTTTGAAGTTTGGAGTTTGGGGTTGAGGAGCTTTTTTTTGTGTATTTGATTAGTTTTGGTTGTCTTTTATCGAGATTAAAGATTGAAAATTCGAGAATTAGTTAGGGAGTTTGTACATGTGCGGAGAGAATACAGTGGTTATATTTATTACTCAACCGGGCTTGGGAAGTTTCAATATATATATATATAACTGCAATTAGATAAGGAGATGGATGCATTTTAGATTGCGAATTTAAGAGATGGTTGGGACTTGCTTTGATGCTGGAGGATTTAAATTTGATGATATTTGGGGTTAGAAAGGGGTGGGGTGGTAAGGTATGGATGGCGTAGAAATGTATAGATGTGTGGATGAGTTTTTGCAATAGAAGAGAGATTGGTATGTGGTTATTTTGATTGCAATTAGTTCTTTGGAGGGATGGAGATGGATTTTTTTGTGAAATTGAAGAAATGCGATGAATGGATGTATGCTGAACGATGAGTCGAAGACAGGATCTCAATAGTTCCGAGTCATTACTATAATCCAAAACTTCTAGACATCCCAGAAGTTGAATTTTATCAAAGATTCGATATAATAAGTTTGATTGTTTTATCGTATTACTCCCGAAATCCATTTTCCTCTTCCAGAAATGTAATCCGTTCATTCTGAACCGGCTAGGTTTCTTTTCAAGTTTCTCCCCGTCTCCGCTAAGACTTTAAGATCCGAACTCGCTTCCGGCAAACTCGATCCATCGTTTGTAGAATGATTTGATCAAATATTAAGAGCTAGTACCCAGTCCGTGACCGTTGGTTTGATCCTGACGATTTTTGAGTGAAGGAGATGGTTGTGATACCAGAAATCCCATTCTACTAAGTTTGGAATTACACCCTGGTGCTAAACAAGAGAATCATCCGGGCTACTCACAAACCTCAAATGCAGACCCGAGAAGTGTTGAAGTGAGAAGAGTTCTGATTATCAAGATTATCTTCTGGCGTTGGGATATGTATTAATCTATCATTTGCTGAATTTGCTACGTTAAGCATACGATGCTCCGAGTACAGATATATAATACTTACAAGGCTTTTACTGGATAGATTCGATATACAGGAGGAATAGAAGGTAATGAGCGGAAACTAGTAAGTCCATTACAACCCTCCGATTTCCTACAAAATCAAGAAAATAAAAACAAAGATAATTGACATCTGTGCATGGTATTATTGATGTGAGCCCTGATTACTATTAAATCATCATGAAAGAAGTAGAAATTCCACATAAATAAACCTTCAACTCGCATCTTCCCAATTCAAATGAAAGTTACATCTGGTTCAATATATTTGATGTTGTTACCGATTATATCCACAAGCGAATCCTCGCCTCATTTCATTCGCTCGCTGACATGGCTGTGATTCCCTGGTTTTATTTTTGAGCCTCGAAATATGATACCATACCCTAATCGTATTTTCCGTTGTTCACTAAGAGACATTTTGAAGAGGAAAACATAGTGGATAATTAGATTCCATCATCTTAATTTTCTCTCATCCTTGTGCGGTCTCGGAAATTGGTTGAAAAGTTTGATATGTGTGAATAAAGAAGATGTTCGAAAATAGGAATCATTTCCATGATTCTGATATTAATTTCAGGAAAGTATTACCCACATCATCAGAGTGCGGGATTGAAGCCCAAGAAGACATTATGAAGCCTGTTTGAGATAAATCATGGATGTATTCGGGGCTACTTTGTACACATTTCCGACGATTCGGGTGGGTTTATCGGAGTAATTGAACGTCATATATACATGATCTTCTCAAAAAGGTAAAATGTAGAAGTGGCAGATTTGTTGAATACCTGGATCAACCTAAATGAATCTTCTGACTATAGAGCGAAGTTATTCTCGAACTCTTTCAAAGTCACAACTTTATTTTGATCTTCTAATATAAACAAGACCTCAGTTCCCTTGACCAATAAGATAGATATTGTCAAACACCAGTTCGCTATCTGATAACTAATTACGGGCTTGCCAGGGCGGGCCTTATAATATCCGATTGAAGAAATGCAACATTTCAGAATATTCCTTGATTCGAGTGCTCATTGGGAAATATCAGGAACGGCTTCGAAAGCTAGTTGTAACTACTGGAATTAGTTTCGTTTCTTTTCTACTCTTTACATTACTTCACTTTGAGACCTCTCAACATGCACCTGCTAATGCAGTTTAATCAGTAGATTATATGATATCGTAGATGTGCAACACTCAAGTATCTCATCTTCCAAAGTTCCTAGTGAACGATTCCGTAGAACTAATTAGAGCTATAAATCCCGAGATAGCTCTGGGTTGCTTCCCGAGATGAGATCGAATGATGTCGATTAAGGAGATCCACGAGAAGGTAGAATGTTACGGAAATATAAAACTAGTTTGTACAAGTCTCAAGATATATCACTAGCGATGACTTTCTCTCGCCTAGAGTCCACAGTCTTCAAACTTTCAACCCATACCTTGTAGACTTTCTTTTACAAATGTTTCCCGTCAGACTGATATCTAGTTAACCAATCGATCATCCCCGTACCTGAGATATAAATCTAGCTCCCAACAGGAAAACAACCAAAAGAGATCATTACACAGTATCCGTAACACTCTTAGAAACACAGCAATATCTTCCAGCTAATCATTTTCCAAGCAGGGGAAGAGGAAGAAACATCTACTTATAACTGATAAACCTCCTCGCTTAACAACTACGTTCGAATTTTATTTACATGACATAATCCTGTAGATGTGAATCCATTCAGATCACTGAAAATCGGTTCAGAAAGGTTCAGAAATCTGTCCGTCTACCTACTCAGCTGTACAGATAATCCTCCCTCCCGTTATCACTCCTCAAAAACCCACAACCAACAATCACCAACATACCAATATATAAACATACCACCACAACAATATAAAACCCAACTCCAAGGTTCCTCTATAAATCAATACTCCCACAATCTATATACCCTACACACATTCTACCTTCAATTTCTCCCCAAAAAATGTGCGCTTAAAATATACTAATCATATAAATCTATATTAATCCAGTCTCATCTAATCTAATATAATCTACTAGCATCTTAAGCAAAACAACCCCTCTTTTGCTTAGCTATCTATCAAAATCCCGCCTTCAAATACCCATCCACTTTCCATTTCCATCTCTTCCCAACCCTCCATACATCTATTTCACACATCTATTTCACACATCTATTTCACACATCTATTTTCACACATCACTACTCCTTCCTCCACCCTCTTCCCTTTTCTCAAGAATACAAGATCTATCCTGAAACTCATCCAGACAAACAATCACATTGTTAGTAATTTGAAAATAGTCAGATTAGATTTCAACTCACGATGCTGAGTATATCGATAGATATCAGTATACTATGCTCGCCTCACCCCCCCCCCCCCCCCCCCCTTAAGTCTCTCTCTGAATCATTACGGTTCAGCTTCTCTTCCACTGCCTCGTCTCTCCCTTTCCTCACCCCATCTCACCCCATAGCACACGATCCTAACACCATCTCACCCCATCTCACCCCATCTCACCCCATCTCACCCCATCTCACCCCATCTCACCCCATCTCACCCCATCTCACCCCATCTCACCCCATCTCACCCATCTCACCCCATCCCACTCTATTTCATGAATCCTATAAATCTCATTTATCAAAAAACCCCAACCCCAATCCCTCTCCCCCTATCTCAAATTCCCTCTACCTATCCCAACCACACCATATCATACCATACCCATCTCCACCCTCTACCCCAAAAATCATCACTACACTAACCAAACGACACATAACATACCACAACTCCCTTCCAGCACTAAAATTCCCTTCGAACACTCCTCCTAGCATCTCTTCTCTTCTAACACTACAACCATTATTCTCCATATCCACCTTTCCTACCCTATCCCTCCTTCCCATCCCAACTCATCTCAGCAATCTCCCCTCTCCTACTCCCCCTACCAATCTATATCCTCCAACCCCCAAGAAAAAACTCAAGACACCCATTCTCAAACTCCACTTCTCAAACTCCAAACCCTTTCCCTACCTATCACACAACAACTATTCGACAACTCACTTCCTAGCTTCTCAATTTATCAACTTATCACATTCCTATATACCATCATACCTCAATATCCATCTCAATACACACACACACACACACACACACACACACACTAATCAACCCCCCCCCCTTCACCCTTTCTTTTTTACCCTCCTTAAGCTTATCCCCCTTTATATATACACATGTACACATACCCATCAAATCCCTCCTACCTTCACCCCTTTACCTCTCCCTTCGCCCCCCTCTATTCTCCTCTCCAAATACATAAACACTATTACATATAATTTTCTCCTCTTTCCTCTCCTCTTTCTTCCCCTCTTCTCCTCTCCCACCCTCCCTACTCCTCTCCTTTCGATCCCCAATCCCCGATCCCCAATCCCATTCATCCTATCTCATTTCTCATTCATTGAATTATTAAACCATCCAATTACCCAATCATCAATCACCCAACCACCGAGCCATTAATTACTAAAACCAATAAACCACTCAATCACCCAACCACTAAACCACCAAAAACAACACTCTCTCTACACCAGTAAACCTGCGTTTAGCAGTAGCCTCCTTCTCCTCCTTCTCCTCCTTCTCCTCCTTCTCCTCCTTCTCCTCCTTCTCCTCCTTCTCCTTCTTCCTCCCCCCTCTTCCCCTTTCCTCCCTCTTTTCAATCCTCAACCCTTGATTCCTAATCTCACCCCTCCATCCCCCTCCAAACCAAACCAACCGAACCAAAAACAAAAGCTCAAATACCCAAATATTAAACTCAACCCGAAATCACATAACACGAAAGTAATAATCACACGTAGAACTCAAATATTTCAAAATTCATAATATTTATTTATTTATTTCTTTTATCTCCTCATCTGTCCATACTCTCTATCTTCTTCTTGTTCATCTATACCATCTCATCTAATTTCTAACATCAAATAATAGACGCCTCGATAAACATCGATCCATTAATCCATTCATCACAACATACCAAACCAAACCATACCATCCTGTCCTCATATCATAACCACCAATTCCAATACCCATGCTAATTTCATCGTAATATATACACAAATAATCCTCCAAAAAGCATTTCTTTTCAACGCCAATCCGCCTTTATCCCACTTAAGCTCCGATCAGCTCATACTCCGAAAATACCTATACCCATAGCCATCTATATGATTAAGACTTGTAATATAATAAAGATATATGTTCTTTCAAGCCCACTTTCCTAATAACGCCATTAAACCTGCTCCTGCAACCATGCATCCGAAAGCAAATAGCATCATTTTCATTGAACTTTTACGCATTTCTTGATTGAACATGAATTCATGTGCCATCAATTCCACCAATCCTGTATAGATGAGAATTCCAGCACTGATGGAATCGAATACACCATTGATAACCATAGTCTTTTGACTACCTGGGGCAAATGTTGTACGAACACCTAAGCCAATAGCAATTGCAATAGGTGTTGTGAAACCATAAGCTGCTCCCAGAGCCCATGGCATCCATCCCTTCTTCTTAGGCCAATGAGCCGTGGCAAGTCGAGCTCCAAGACCAAGTCCTTCAAATGTTTGATGGAAAACAAGGACAATGTAAAGGACGTTAAAATCATCACCTGTGACGGCAAGTGTGAGACCGATAAAAATAGAATGAAATATGACACCAAATTCAAGAATGAATAGTGCGGTCATTTGAGCAGCAAAATGATCACCATCTTCATGGTGTTCTCGTTGATGTCCGAGGTGATCCTCACCTCCAGGAGGGTATGATAAATCATCAGGCCGACCTGGAATACTTGATCTACCTCTAGATGGTCCTTCTCCAGATGTCGGTATCCGGGTAATTGAGCTCTCGTGATCATGTTGTTCTAGTACGGCGTTGGAAGCTTGAGGGCTATCGCCAGTTTCTCTGTAACTGTTACCATCTGAGGGCGAAGATGTTTTTAATGCGTCAACTTTCTCATCTCGGGTAGTTCGTCTAATAAGATCCCTTGCAGGATCGGCTGCTTCCAGATCATGATCATCTTGTCCAAACACATCAAATCGTGACGCCATGAGCTCAATAAAGAACATGCTAAAAATAGTCATAAGGCAAATTCCTTCAGCCCAATCATAATCTGTGATTGTGCCTTCTAAACACGGGGAAGTCAAATTGGCCGAAGCGGGGGCAAGTAACTATAGTCTGATTAGCACAAATGTGTATGAAATTTCGGAAGCTAACTCTGGATGTTATGAGAGCAAGAGAGGAAAGATTAATACTTACATGTATGAAAGCGGTAGCTATAATAACACCCGATCCGAAATACTTAGTGATAAAGAATGCCAAAGGTGGAACGCTCATCCTTTTCGTTCTTGCAGCAGCGATTGGTAGAAGAGCACCTACAAATCAAGTTAGTCAAAGGTATCCTCGCGAAATGGGAGTTTACATATTGAATCAAGGAGAAACATACCCATCATGGAACCAAATCCAATCACGAATATGGAAGATATTCGTATACCCATTCGTCCATCATATTCATTTCCACTCCCACACGTAACTTCAACAGTATATTCCGACATGATCGCCAACTGCAACTCCTTCTGCCACTCACAGATATCCTATCTTCCTGAATGCTCGTCCAACTTAGATCTGCCGTCTTCTGTGTATTCTCGTCGGATATCTTTAGGGGATTGCCGTATTCCCTGCTAAGCTTGGACGTTGAAAGTATGTTTGATTGTTTGAAAAGCTTCCACAGTATTGATGAATGTCGTCCAAATGGAGATTTACCAAGGGTAATGATTGCGTAGATGAAGTTAGTTGCAATGGTGTAGCGGGAAATCCAAAGGTTGTATGGGCGTGGGGAATCTCCGTAGCTAGTTGAAAAAGTTGGATTAGCAAATTATACATTTATAGGGGTACTTGACAGTTTTTAAAGAGAGAGATAGATTGGTAAGGAAAAAGAAAGCAAGTATACCTGGGCAAGTACCTTGTGAGGTAGCTGAAATGAAAATGTTTGTGATAAACTGGAACCGTTCAACGAACAATCACCACTTGATTCAATTTATATGACAGCTGAAATATTATTCAACGGGAGGAAGAAAAGTAATATATATATATATGGAGATATATTTAGAGATGTATATAGAGATGTATATAGAGATATATATGGAGATATAAATAGAGAGATATATAGAGATATATGTTAATGGGTAGGTACTAGGTATGTACAACCATATATTTATTTACATGCGAATCTGAGGGGTATCAAAGTATAAAAATATGAAAGTATAAAGCATGAAAAGGATACAAGTGAAGAAAGAAATAGGAAGGAAAGGAGAGAAGAAGAGAAGAAGATCATTCATTATCTAGTCTTCACTGAAAAGAGGAGGCACGGAGATATCTTTGGATTGTATCATACTATACCAGAATCTCTAGGAGGGTCTCGAAAGGATAGTCTAAAAGAAAATGCTCGAGGAGAGAGATTCAGTGAGATTCATGAAAATGAGAACCTTGATGGGTACATACTAGATAGCCAAGCTGAGTAAACCAAATATCTAACCGGGCTAACTCATAACAGGTAAGGCGGATTCCCATTTGTCCAAAACCAGCCTTGGAATTATCAATTCTAATCATTGTGATTGGATCAGGCACATGATAAACGTCCGAGAAACGCTTCGGTCCCTTAAAAAGTTAAAAATCCTTTTCCAGCCTTTTTCCCTTTTCCCTTTTCCTTTACTTAGTAATGCGGTCATTATGTCAGTACGTATCGTACAGAGTATGTCAGTAATGTCGTATGTCAATACATGAGTACTTTGTATGCTATGACCATTATTCTTTTTGTTAGATACTAGATACCAATGGTCGCATCAAAGTAGTTGCCGGAAACGTCAATTTCTAGGAAATTACTTCCCGGTCGCCTGCAGCGGCTACGCGCATATTATTTTCTTTTCATCTGAGAGTGACCGGCTCGGATCATTTTACATGTTGGAGTTCGGGTACCAAAAGTACTTGGATGACATTTGACCGATAGTTCACATGTCAAAATGCAGGTGATCCTGTCAAAAGAGAGACATTGATTCACAGATAAGATGAACTTTCTTCCAAATGACGTTACAACAAGGTAACACTAAATGTACAAAAGTCTGGTGGTGCCGCGTGCACGAAGCGGTCCGTTGCATGTGCTTCGCATCATGTCGATTATCATCATATTATTAGCTTCCATCTACTAGGTAGGTAATATATGAAAATTGTAACCATTCGGAAGAATCTCCGACCTCGGGAGACAACAAACGGAAATGGTTAATATCACGTGAATCACATCTCTGGATTATTCGATTATTCTGCCTCAGTCTCCGTGTCTCCATTCAGGATGTGGAGTTTAACAGTTATTTCATTCTCGTGTGGATCCTCTTATCTCATCATTCCCTTCTCAACGTCGGGGTTGAAATCTCTGATCCTACAACCTTGCCTTTTCTATGGTTGGATAGCCTGCTGATTTTATAACAGCCAATGCTTTCATAGATTGATCATCTTATCAAACATTACCGTTCTGTTGCGTTCACAGCCATCCTGTGCACGTACGACTACCGGATTGCTCTCCATAGCATCTAATTACGGTACACCCCTAAAGATGGTGCGAGGGAGTTTCTGGTGCCGATATTCGATTGAGATCGAGAATGATTGCAAAGCTGTGTACACCATAAATCCGATGTCGCCAAGGTAGTCTTCCGAATGATATTCTCAGCTCTCAGCCATCCACAGTATCAATACGACATGGCACACTGCTATTTTCCGGTGTCTTGGTCGAGACGTTGCTGTACGAGTCGAGTTCTTTTCGGATCTTGCTTGTGTTTCACAAGAATATCAATCTCGTCTGATCTTCCCGAGCTCGCCTAAAGGAAGCGGCACTATATCCGCCCCTGTGGAACAAACTGTGTTGGCACTACCTAGGTACTCGAACAACTGAAATGTTCACGAAGAATATTGCAATTCTAGTCCCAAGGCCTTGAACGGTTGATCTCTCCTCTTCATATCAATTGAAGTCCCCAGAGTAAACAATAACTCCTTAACTCTACCCTCCCATACCAAGCCAACCTTTAGGTTCTGGTCAATTCTTGCTTTTAGAACTCCGGCGACCTCTTCAGGTTTCTTCTCCTTTTCCAAATCCACTTCGTCGAGTTTCCATGCAAGCTTTGCTTCCATACTCCTCACTCTGCGCTCCTCAACCGGTGCTTTCATCTTCCACAATTCGCACCCAAGCACCAAATCACTCTCGTAGCTATAGACATTGAAGTCTAGCCTTGAACATAGGGATAGGTTCTTGCCTGCTTTTACAGCATATGTCGAACTAATATTTCCCATCAATGGATTGAGCGTCAAAGTGGCTGTCAAAGGTATCCCCTTATGCGCCGGCAATGTGGCAAACCTTCCTCCAACGCTAACACCTCCTGATTTGTTCAAAGTTCCATAATAAAGCTCCGCTCCTGCGCTGAATCGTCCATAGAATTTATCATCGATCCTTGACATCTGTTTTGGCGGCTCCGTGGTTTCTTTCCTTGGATCCGGTCCAAAATTATACAACCCTCTCAATCCCAGTAATCCACCATCAGTCGAATATAATGTCTCAGTACTATATTTCCCTGTATCATACTGATGCAGAGCTAACATCGTTCCTCCATTTCTCAGCCTACTGTCACTAACAGCCGTAATCCTCACTTGCTGCGTCGGACTAATCCTTCTCAAATATAACGCTTCAAGCGTACTCTGCGGTAAATAAAGTCGTCCATAAAGTAATGTATCTCGTTGATCGACTCGTCTACCTCCGTGCCATTGCTCCCACATCCATGATTCATCAACCTTTCTAAGCTCCTGTATTTGTCGATATCCCCGTATTATCTGATATAAATCAATCTTCGCACTCTGCGAAGTGGTACGGAGAGGCAACGAGGAATAGAGGTAGGAAAGAGAACCATCTACAAGCCCGACACTACCTAGTGCATACGAAGTTGCGAAGTTGGGAGAGCTGAGTGACGAGAGATTAAATCGCAGACCGCCGGGAGTATCAAAATCCAGAAGTGCTTTGTTCCAAAGATGTCAGTAAGTTGAAGGGCAACAAGCTCTGAGAACAAGCTTTAAAGGTAGACAGACAAAAAGAAGCAGGTACCTTTAGCAGTAGCAGTCAACTGCGAATATGAATTCTCATAATTCCATTTCGTCGCATTGTAAAATGCATACTGCACATAATCCATGAACTCCAACATCTCCGCACAAGCTTGACCCAGAAATCAACACATCAATCTCTGATATTTAAAGAAGCAGAGAAAGAAAACCTGCACCAATTCATAAATAAAGTAATAAATAGATCCAATCCAATCGAATCTCATCCATCCAATTGCAGCTCAAAACATAAAAATCCGGAACAACGTTAACCCCCCCACTCTAATCCCTGCATAAACTCACCACACTAAGCCTCGATAAGTCTAGTCTGAAATCTTATCAACTATCAATCGCAAGCTTGTGAAAAATAAAAAATTACCTCCATCCATATCGAAAACCGCAATTCTCTATTAAATTTCATCACCTCTTCTCAGCTACACCACCCTTTCTCTCCCAACCACAATCACCACAATACATAATCAAAATGCCTAAATCAAAGCGCGCGCGCGTCGTTCATCTCACCAAAGTCGATAAAAAAGGAAAGGAGCTTTCGCTCAAACTCTTTGCCAATGTGCGCGAGTCGCTCGATAGTTATCAGCATTGTTTTGTGTTTAGTGTGGATAATATGAGGAATACCTATTTGAAAGATGTCAGGAATGAATTGAGTGATTGTCGGTATGTATTGTGTTATTTATCTGGTTCTTGTTTTGATCAATTTGGAGATTCGAGGGATGCTGTCATTTCGGGGATGGAGATGATATGATGATGACGGAGGAGTTGAGCCAAAGCGAAAGAAGAGAAAGCGAAGAAGGATGCATTGTTACGTATACAAGAGAAGAGGGATTTTCGATTGAAAACTCGAGCATCAGGAATAAATTGGATTGGAAATTGCCAACCACCACATCTACCACATAAAAGATAATACTAACACCCATCCCCATCAGACTCTTCTTTGGAAAAACAAAAGTAATGGCCAAAGCCCTCGGCAGCGACGCCTCCACCGAATATCAACCCAACACCTCCCTCCTCTCTCCCCATCTAGTCGGCAACGTTGGACTTCTCTTCACCAACCGCGAACCCTCCTCTATCATCACTTTCTTCCAAGATCTCTCCAAAACAGATTTCGCTCGCGCCGGTACAGAAGCTAGCAGAAACTTCACCATTCCCGCAGGAATAGTCTACAGTATGGGAGGAGAGATCGCCGCCGAGAACGATGTCCCCATGGCGCATAGTTTGGAACCAGAATTGAGAAGACTGAATGTACCGACTACCTTGACTAAAGGAAAGATTACTTTGGAGAATCCCTACTGTGTCTGTAATGAAGGTGATGTGTTGGATAGTAGGCAAACCAGATTATTGAAGTTGTTTGGTGTGGCTACTGCAGATTTCAGTGTTCAATTACTTGCGTAAGTCTCCATTCATTTTCTCTTCACCTAATTTTTTTCTAATTTCGAAATAGATACTGGAGTGCATCCAATCAAGAAGTAACGGAAATAGAGGCTACAGAAATGAGCGAGTAAAAATATTAAAGAAAGCAAAAAAGGCATTTCGGATCGTCATTTCTGTTCTAAACTATCATACAGTCAAAAGAAGACTAGACTATGAGGCGTTTACCGGCGCCACGTTTTTGTTATGGAATATATGTGTACTTCAAAAATTAAAACAGCAATTGCCTGAGTGCTATGCCTGAGCTATCCATCTTACCCCTTTGAACTTCATTTTTCCTCCTTTGATCGTACAAACAGTATTCCCAGCCAAATGACAAATTTGCAAAAGCGCTATAACGAGGATGGTCAGGTAATACCTTTTTCTTACCTCTGATCGTACCTCCCATGATCAAAGTAAGCCACAAGTGCGTAAAAGAAAAACCAACCACATCATACCAAACCATTCAAGAGAAACGTCGGATTGCTGAGTCGAAAATGTTGTAAAGCACTGGATAGCATGTATAATTATCATGCGGGAAAAGGTTCGTCGTAACTGGAAACTGCTTTTTGTCCGTACTATGAAAACGCCGTCGAAAAGCATGCAAGTAGATTAGGCGACAACACTACCTTGGGTGAAAATTTGAGATCGAGAACCGCTTACCCCTGTTGAGGAAGGGAGGAAAGATGGAAGATTCGAAGAAAACCCACCACAAGACTGTTGAACCCACCAGCCAGTCTCATTGTATCTAATACCTTCGCAATTTACGAGGATCCTCCTCATAACCATTACTGTCATAAGGTCTCTTTCGTGAGTCGTCTTCGCGTGGTCGTCCGCCATATCCTCCATCTCTAGGGCCATCTCTGGGTCCATCTCTATCACGGTATCCACTACCATCTCGGGGTCTTACCGGCTCCATATTACTGCCACTACCTCCACGAGGAGGACCTCCATCGCGATCACCATAGCCACGGTTGCTGTTGCCACGGTATCCGCCGGATCTGTCATCATATGAGCGGCCTCCACGAGATTCATACCCACCACTTGATCCTCCAGGACCATTTCGATCTGGTGATCCTGCTCCAAAACCTCCACCCCCTCTTCCACCATAACCACCACCCCCGTTGAAGCCTCCACGACCGCCACCTCCTGGGCCAGCTGGTGCATTAGGAGGAGCATAGCCATTGGATCCTCCACCTCCATACCCACCACGATCACCTCTATCACCGAATCCTCCACGGCCTTGAAAGCCAATTCCTCCTCGTCCACCACCACCACCACCTCCTCCTCCAAATCCACCTCGATCGAAACCTCCTCTAAATCCACCACGACCTCTGCCTCCATCAAATCCACCTCGGAAGCCACCTCGGAAACCGCCAGGGCCTCCAGGAGGACCATTGAATCCACCTGGACCCATTGGTCGTGAAGAAGCGGACTTTGTATATCCACGACCTCCAAGGCCACCTCCAAGACGACGTGGTAACCAACCTTTTACGGTTCGACCTCTTTCGACATCTACCTTGATTCGACGATCTTTAATTCTGATACCGTCACAGTTTTCTAAACCAGCTATTCACGAAGCGCGAGCAAGGCGCGTTTGTCAGTCATTTACCCATATTCATATACCTTGATCTGGGTAACAGGAAGAAAGGAAAAGCGAAGACAAGAAGTGGGATAACCAAATCTTTATGCCGATTGTGCATTTGAACAATTTGTTTATGGGGAATATGGGGTTATGTTCGGCTTTACCTCTCATGTCCTTCTCTCGTTCGAAAACTACAAATGCGTAACCGCGATGCTTTTTGATCTTCTTTCCCGGCTTTTCATGTTGATGAGTATCAACAACTATGCGAATCTGTAAAACACAAAGGTTAATATAATATACTCAGCAGAATAATTAAAGTAAGCTTACTCTCTCGATGGGTCCAAATCGACCAAACTCGCGCTCCAAGTCCTTTTCAGTGGCATCGTAGTCTAATCGACTGACGATAAGTGTTTTGAAAGCATCTCCTCGAATATTTGGATCCTCAGATGGTTTGACTACACAAGCAAAAACATTAGCAACGTTCCAAGAAATTCAAGAAGAATAACAGGGTGATGAAATAGTGATATAGGACATAAAGGGTGACCCTCACATAGTTTTGGGGCTTCCTGAATAATCTTCTCGTGTGCGGCCTTCTTCTCCAGCTTAACACGGTCTTTTCTCTGAAGCCAGCTCTCGGTGGGCACGTAAACATCATTCTCCTTGTACTCCTGAAGAGCTGGGAGAAAGGCAGCAAGGCCAGTGATATTGGCAGTTTTGCGATCCTCTGGGGCAAAGTCTGAAGGCGGAACCCATCGCAAAGGGGGTCGAGGCGCGAAAAGCGCAAGGAGGTTTGGTGGGAGTTTATCGGTCATTGTGGGCTATTTACAATTCCCAAAGTCTTCGCAATGATGAATTTACAGTCTTTAAGACAACTGCAAAACAATGCTGCTGAACTGTATGATGAAGATAATTGTGAGAAACTGTGTCGCGTCGTTGTAGCCAGGACGCCTAATGGTAACCTGAGATTTGAGCTCCTAAGCTTAAAATATCACAGTCACGTGACTAAGAATTTATTTCACTTGAACCTCAATATGTCAAATGCTGTCTGAATTTTGAATTATGTTTTGACGTCAGCACAACAGTCAAAATGAGGATTACAGGATTAAGGAAAACAACCATTGGCCAGGTATTCACACGATCAGTTCTTGCGGGCGATTGTAGATTGCTAACATCTCACTCAGAATGGTGTCGGCGCCTTCATTCTCCAATGCACAAAAATGGATTTTCATTACTGCGATTGGGCTGGCAGTTCCAAGGGAATGAAGTAAGTAGTATTCTCGAACCTCGAAGTTGCTCCAATACTCATACTGTCACAGTACCTTCATCAAAAATTCCTTACCGGGCTTCGCGAAAGCCAATCCTCAAATCGAAATTACTGTCTCCCCTCGACCCGCCAAACACCCAGTCATTATTGGTCATTATATCAATGGTCGCGAGAAGGCCATTTGCGTCAGAAATCTAGAAATGGGACAAATATTAAAGAAGGCAGAGCTGCTCAGAGATGCGAGTGGAGAAAAGCTAAGGAGAGTCAAGAAGCCCGTGAAGAGTATCAACGAGAGTGTTAGAGGTATTTGGAGTCCTTATCATGGTGGTGGAATTAAGGTTTGAGGGGGGAATATAAAGAAGATTGTTGTATTATACATAACAGCATTACTGGCGTTAAGGATAGGAAATCATGGGTTCCGATAGTCCTATGTCGAAGATCTCGACTGTATGAATGTTATGGTTATGGTTATGAGTTGAGTAACTTGTTGAAGCTACACTTTTCTACACATTATCGACATTTTTGTCGATGCTACTATTTGATCTACCTCGCCGTCTTTCCATTCAGTCATTTCGTGGGCTTCATTGTTACAATGTTTGGCAGTGAGTGTAAGTCCGGTTATGCCAGGAACTAGTGCCCCTAGAAATATACAAGACATTTATCATAAAAATGGACATCAACCCATTGAAGATTGGATCACCAGCATTTGATCTGAGTGAAAAGTATGGGTGCTGCCCAAGAAATAAAGAGTGCTGTGCATGTAGGTAAGCCTGCTATAATAGACCCCGTCAAGCTACCCGCCAGATTCCATATCAAATATTCCGAAACCTTGTATAATACTTCAAATCTTACTGTCACCTTTCACAGATCTATTGATGCATTAGAATTCTCACATATAACGAGCATGAGACTAGCAGCGGCTTCAAGGTAGTGGATATTTCCTGAAAACATATCATACTGCCAGGTCTTTTTTTTATTGCCTGGTAGGGTTAAATACCCAATTTACAGTCGTAATTCATAAAATCCTAAAACCACTTACAAGTGGCTGTTGATAATATCAACGAAAGCTGGCTTCAACGAAGCACCTCCAACCAAGAAACCATCAATATCCTCTTGCTTGCTCAAATCTTTGCAGTTCTTCTCGCTAACACTTCCACCGTAGATGATTCTGGTCTCCTCTGCAGCCTTCTCGCTGACCTCCTTCTTCAACCAAGAACGAATAGCGGCGTGTACCTCTTGTGCCTGTTCGGTGGAAGCAACCTTTCCGGTACCAATAGCCCAGATTGGCTCATATGCAATGACGATCTTTGACCAGTCTTGAACCTTATCCTTAACAGCCTTCAATTGTGCGGTAACAACCTCGATTGTCTTGTTAGACTCTCTTTGCTCAAGGGTCTCTCCGCAGCAGAAAATAACACCGACTCCTCCATCAAGAGCAGCCTTGGTCTTGCATGCTACAAATGAATCATCTTCTTGGAGAATGACACGACGCTCAGAGTGTCCGAGAAGTGTCCAGGTAATGTTGCTGTCCTTGAGTTGCTCAACGGAAATTTCACCCGTGAAAGCTCCGTTTGGCCTATCGAAAACGTTTTGTGCTGCAACCTCAAGTCCAGGTCTCAAGTGCTCGCGGGTAAGGAGAAGGTAAAGAGCAGGTGGAGCAATGACAACCTCTAAATAAATAAAGTGTTAGCAAAATCCCAAAATGGAATATAGAGCTTGATAGAGGGGTATGTAGGGTCAACAAATTCCCCTCCATCCTCAACAAACGGATGAACATAAGCCAGGGCAGATACATACCGGTATTTGGGTCCAACTTAGCATCGTTCAAGTTTCCAACAATCTTCTTAATGGAATCAACAGATCCATTCCTGATGAGAGCAAAAAATTAGCTGAAATCCTTTTGCTTGGTGGGGGGAGAAAGTAAACAAAAGCTCTCACATCTTGAAGTTACCTCCGACGAAGAATTGACGAGGCATGATTGCTAGTTTTCTGGTAATACGAAAAATGGTTTAGAAGGGTTTGGGTATAAGTTGATTTTGGATGAAATTGAAATTGTCTTTTTGATATGATGGTTTTACTTGTAGAAGTTTTGTATGAATTGATATCAAACTTCTCTTGAATCGGTAGGACTCGGAGTGGGGTGAGCTCTCGGCGGGACCTGACTTTCTACAGAAATCTAAAACCCCGCCAGAAATCGTCATTGGACCCAAAAAAATGTACGGAAACTTGCATGTATTATGTGTACCAGGCTCAATTTTCTCCCGTCGGTAGCCTCTACATCAAATCGAAAATGGTATTGAGACATTATTGTTGGATCAATGAAACAAATCAGCCATTCATCTTCTGCCATCTGTATTATTATGCCGCCATGGTTTCAAATACCTCTACGAAGTACATCAATCTACCGGTTCCAAAGCATCATGGAAACATTGACGACATCGGACCTCCTCTCGTCCACCAGGTCTTAAACATACAATTGCTATCAAGTTTGTTTCCTTCAAGTTCAATTGCAAGCTTGATAAAATGATCAAGCCTCAATAGAACAACGTTGCTTCAATAATTGGTCACCATGACATGATGGCCGAGATTGGCTTGATTCATCTCACCGAGACTACCAATGAATTGACCTCTCGCGATGTTTCAATGGACCAAGATTCATTGACTCGGGACCACTGATTGTACAAAATATTGGGCACCAATGTGCTCAACTCATCTCTCGGCATGGAATAATCAATCCAAAAATGCCATTCATATGAGAACTCAACTTCCTGCATGATTCCAAGGCTCACAATTAACGCATTTCACTTATACTTCATGTTGACAGAAAGAGAAGATTCCAAAAATTAGGGAGTTCATTAAAATAACTTTTGATGCCACGTGTGTCTAGTACATAGGAGATGCACTTTATTATCATCGGTCGTCAAATCGTCCATTGTCCTTCTAGGCCAAAGACATAAAGTCCTGCTGCGCCGTTGGTCCATCCATTTACCACAAACCAACACCAATTTCCCAAGAGCAAATGATACACAGCAATTATTACTAACTCATCCATCACATCAATCTTCAAGACTGAAAACATCAATATAATAACACAAGATCTCAAACTTTAAAGAAAGCAAGTTAAGGTTATCGAAAAGCATACAGCTGAAACAACAGGTCTCTCAACTATGCATGCGCACTATCACTGCTATAGCTGGAACTATACCGATGTCGTGGTGGACTTCTTGGGGTGAAGGGATGATGGCGAAATTGAGGGATTTGAGGGCGAAGACCTGTGAATGGAATTCTGGTTGTGGTTGAATCTCGATCAATGTAGTTCTCAGCGTCAGAAAAACGACGTCTATAAGCGGCCTCTCGCGGAACTGATCTCACATTCCGGATAATAACAGGTGGACAATCATCCTCATATAGGTCATCAAGGTGTCTTTCATTGTATAGGTCATCTCGATATCGAGGTGCGGGCCTTGAATATTGATGTTCTCTATATCGAGGAGCTTCTATCATTGGGAGTTCTGCATGTCGACGCGCAGGATATCTCGGCGCTAAGGTATCATATTCAAGTTCGCGACGGCCGGCAGGTACCACAGCTCTCGATGGCTCATCAATAATGATTGGTCGATGCGACTGAGAAAGGTAATACTGAGCAGCAGCCCTTTCTTCTTCTCTACCCTGTTGAAATGCTTGTGCAATGGCATCGGGAGCGGAAAGTGGGACAGCTTCTCCGGTATAAGGAGATTCTGGATGACTGCCCCTTCGAAATTCTTGAAATATTGGCTCAGGTGACTCGCTTCTGTGGGCATAATATTTCTTATGGTGCTCCCGTGGACGACGTTTACTTTGGCTACGACCTCGTCTACCGCGCGAACTATACTTCTTTGAGCGCCCATCAGAATGAGAACTAATGCTAGTAACCAAAGAGCTACTGATGGTCGAAGCTCCAGTTGAGAACGTGTCGCTATCAGATTCGGATTCTGAATTCGAGTCTGACTGATAGCGCGTCGGTCTTTGTCTGCTTTTGCTTCTTGATCGACCACGGCTTCCACCCTTTTGGCCAGACGTATGTATAATTCCTATAGGGGCTTGAGGTTGCCCATTCGGATTGGGCGGAGCGTTTTGTGGTCTGAGCTGAGGTTGACATTGAGGTTGAGATTGGCCCTGGGGTTGGGGTTGGGGTTGAAATTGAGGATGAGGATGAGGTTGAGGTTGAGGTTGATTTTGGGGTTGAGGTTGAGGTTGATTTTGGGGTTGGGGTTGGGGTTGTGGTTGCGGTTGCGGTTGCATTGGAGGTCTAGTCAAGTGTGCTAATTTTTCTTGTTTTTGCCTGTCGATGATTGCGAAAAGCGCCGTGGCATTAACTTCATCTCTGGGCGAGCGTTTTACTATGACGGTGATCAAAACAGTTTCTCTCACTTTGTTGGAAGACCTCTCTCTTCTATCAAGCTGAACAAGGGACCAATCAAAGTGTTGATCCGATTCCTCAGTTTTCAACCGATCCAGAAGTTTGTTTACTTGGCCCTGCTGATTCGGATATAAAGCTCCTTTTTTATCTGTTATTGTTTGTGAGGAGTCCTTCAATTTCTTCAACTGTGCAACGATATCTTCTTGTGATAAAGCCTCTTCAGTTACCACAGCTTTTGCCCAGGTGGATTTCTCTTTTCCCGTCGGTACAACTTTTCTAATTGAAAAGACCGTGTATGTTGTCAACAACTTTCTGTACGCTGCATCGTCAAGTGGTCTTTTCTCCGAGGCATTCAGATCCACTACGTGGGAAGATTCATATCGTGGTCGCATAGGCATTTGCATTTGCATTTGCGGCAGAGGCTGACCACGCCCGCCAGGTGGCGGACCACCCTGTCCTGGATGACCTTGATGACCTGGATGACCTGGGGGAGGTCCCTGAAAGTTTGGATGAGGTCCTTGAAAATTAGGTTGCGGTCCTGGTCTACCTCCTCCTTGTGGATGAGGATGGGGTCCCGGAGCACCACGTCCCATTGCTCCTAGCTTTTGTGTTAACTATGACATTGCTTGATAAAATAAATGACGAAGCTTACCAAGAGGTGGAGGCGGAGGGACACCGGGGTGTGGATGGCTCATTTCGACGACGCTGCAGTACTTGTCTTGTCGAAAATCGACGTGAGTCTTAGGATAAGGCTTTCTTAAAAGTATAGAATTATATCAAGAGTCGATGAATTAAGATTACGAGCTTTGAAAGGGAAAGCGGGCAACAGCGTGGCTATAACTAGAAGTTAAAGTTCGAGGTTTAAGCCGCAATTGCTTTGGGACACAGGAAAGCTAGGGATGTTGATAGCCAAGTGTGGCTTTATGAAGATCTTGAATTAAAAAAGAAGGTGCGAAGATTTACCTTATGTTTTCTCTAGGTTTAATTTTGGAATGGAGGGGTGGAATCAATAGTTAAGGTAGTGTTACACTAATGAACAGTCACCGAGTAGGAGTGCCACAAGACAGCGAAACAGTGCAAAGAATTCCTCATTCGATGACCACTTCGGGTTACTGGATGGATTGTATTATCAACAAGGTAATTACCATATCTAACGCCCGGTTTAACTCTGTCATGCGATCAGGCTTTAGCTTACGAGCTTTTTTCAAGGTCTATGCAGAAGGCTATGCTCGCCCTGTGTCTAGGGCTCTACAATCTATCGGGGCGAAATTGGTAGGCAGATTTCAAAGAATCTCAAACTTATCCCAAGGTAACACCGATCTATCAGTACGGCGCATCATGGAGTGTTACACCCGCAGATACACTCCATGCTTTACGCACGCTCATACACAAATCATACTCTCTTCAATGATTAGATTAGATATTCAAGATATTTCGTGCCATATCCTATTCCTAACAAAATAAGATATCAGGATATCTACAACAGCAACAAATACACACCTAGTAAGTAACTGGAACTTATTCCTATTCGAAATGTGGGGAACCAGTTTGACGAGGTTTTTTGCAAATCTAAACGAGGCAGGATGCGAACCATCTTGCGAACTTTTTGCCTTAACTGTATGAACAAACCACAAGATACCACACGACAAATCGAGTCACTCGATGCTTATTTTCTGGTCGGGACCGCGGAGCTTCTCGGTGAAGGTACGGTCGAAGCGATAGGATAAGTTTATAAAACCTGCTTTGACTTGGCTACAGCAGAAGGGAAGTAAACTGGGCGTTGTTGAAAGGTCAATTGACGAATCATTACACTACTTACCGCGCAAACAGGCGATGTGTTGAAACTCACCCAGGGATACTCCATGATTTGAGCTTAAATTAAGCCATGCTTGAATAACAAAGGATTGTTCTTGAGTCTCTGACCTCTTTTTGCAGATGCATATGCAGTCGCGTTTTATATTGTCAAAGTCATGAAGTATGTAAAGGTATGTATGTTGTACAGGTAGCTTATATGCCACGATATCGCTGACCGCCTCAAAGTTTTAAGCATGATATTTAGCACAGCGCTCCGCCCCCATTTCGAAGGATCGTGGCGTTGTGAAGCATTCGTCAACAGTCATCCAGATGCAACGACGTGTTGTTCAGTGCAACTCTGGATATGCACTATGAATCTCTAAAGGCTTTGATCGTTGAATACTCTGCAGGCAGACACCATCAAAGCTGCGCTAAATCTCGGGTTCAAGTGCAAAAAGAAATGCGAATTTTCGTTTTCCCTTTGGATCATAAATGCACTTAATGCTGACAGCAGGGTGGTTTATGGGAAGCCATAATTACCCCGCATGTCTTCCTCAATGTTGAACCACTCATACCCCTCCCGAGATATCTCCTTGGCCAATCGATTCAACCACCATATGACCGGGTTCGATCCTGCTTGATTGATAGTGATTATAATGTTTTTCCAATTTACTCATCCCACCGCTTGCATACCGAGTTCTTAAATGCATAGCAAGCTCTGTGACTTTGTCTGTTCAAGCGTTGCACACATACATAGCATAGCGAGGAACAAGTCATCTCAAGTTGCACAAATACATTGATCGACGTGAGAGAACCCAGATAAGATGACTTTAAAGGCATGTTCTTCGGGTCTCATGAGATAACGCATTGTTTATGTCAAATTCGAACACTTTTGAAAAATGATGGATTTATGTATGGTCATTCAAATCATTCTTGATCTGCATTCACGAAATATCGCATACATCTCGAGCACGCTGTTCCTTATTCGTATCAGACGAGTTAAATCTTCTAGGTATTGATTGAGCCTCAAGGTTTCATCTCTATTTTCCATTCTTTTTTTTTTTCAAGGAGCCGGGCGCTGAATTTGGTAACACATTGTCCGTCCCTAAAGCTCTACCCACAGAGATGACGATGTCCAGTTGTACCTTTCCAATTGGAAGAGCCGATGTTACATGACCATAACTGGTAGCCAAATCATCTCCTCGTGTTTCCGATTGTTTCACATCAAGCCACAATCTTCCAACCAAGTGGTTCAAATCATCAGCGCTTCCATCACTATCGCATGTTTCAACTACCGGTACCTAGCTAGGTATTTATTAAAAATCACTCAATCTTAGAATATTACATCTCTCCCCTCATCTTCATACTCTCCAATAATAATATAGCGCTTGTCTTCATAGAGAAATTTCTCTCTACTATCTACCCCGAGGGAATACATTGATAATGCGATTGGATAATCATATCATAGACTCATACCTACTTGTAGTAAACCGCATACATGCATACACGCATGCATGTATATCGCCCCCCTAAGTCCACAGTCCACAGTCCAAATAGTCTGTCCATACTTACCTACATACAGTAAACTAGATACATTAACCTTCTATGCGCTACATCGCAATCATATCCACAATCGAAATCAAAAACTGAAGGAAGGAATACTAACGCATGGTCCATGCAATAACGGGTAGAAAGAACGATGCTTTTCCCATGTGGTAAGTGGAGATTTGTTGGGATGGCGTTTATGTTATGTTATGTTATGTCTTGTATTGTATTGGTTTTTTCTTTCTTATTTTCTTATTTTTTGAAAAAAAAATTAAAAAAAATTACACCGTCTCAGCAAGTGAGGTGAAGCTAGGAGAGTAGTCACACGGGATGGATCCCCCGATTTACATGCGTGAATCTTCCCGCGCTGAATTAAATTTGAGATGGATGATATGATTTAGATGTGTGGTTGAGCGCGACGAGTTATCGAGGCGTTGTCCCGTTTCGAGTTTGGGAGATTGATAGCTTATTGGTGGATGAGGGGAGATATGATTTCTGCTCATGTTATATTGTTTTATTGTATTGCGAGGCTGTGCGGCTTATACGAGTCGAGTGTTGATTTGTTAGAGTCGAGTACTTCTTGTATTCTATACCCTTCTTTATACTTTGCAGTATGGCATGGGGGATCTCACAAAGTATGGCATCTCACAGGAGAGAAACTAGTGGATTCAAGGAGGTTTTGGTTGCATTCAGAAAGAAATAAAAGTCATTCTTGCTGTTTGTGGTAATGTAGGGAAGGATAGTGGCTTGTTCTGTATTTATCCTAGTCCAACTGTTTGAATTTCTCTCTCTCTCTCTCTCTCTCTCTCTCTCTCTGCCCAACCTATTTAAATAAACCAACTTGACATCCCCACTTATTCGACAAAGTCAGTGTCAACCATTCCGTGAAGGGTTTTTGGTCTCTCGCTTCCATTCTCGAGAAGGTTTGCAAAAGACGGATCGTGGTATATGATGCTTCTATTCTCCTCGTCAGTTCTTCATCTCATCTGAAGATATGAAACAGAAAACGATCCCAAGCTCAAGCTACAGATTCGAGAAAATAACATACCCGTCAGTGCAAATTGCTGTCCAATACAGATACGTGGTCCTCCACTAAACGCGATATATTCCCAGCTTCACATCATAAGTTAGTGAGGTTTCGTATCAGTGAAAGTCGACATCAAGCTTCAATTACATACCCGCCCTCAATTTCTCCCACCTCTCAGGTCGGAACTGGTCGGCATCTTCACCGTAGATATCCTTTCTTCGATGCAATCCGTAGGAACTGTATTGTACCAAAGTCCCCTTCTTAACCATGACTGGAGATGTTTCATCAGGTCCGCCACCTCGAGGAAGTACCGTGTCTCGTATTGCGACACGACTTGAAGTTGGGACGATGGGGTAGAGTCGCATTGCTTGGGTGTGTTAGTTCTCTTTCTGGAAATGTAGAGACAAGATAAATCAAGGGAACAAAAACTAACTCTCATTAATACACCATTTCAGATACTTCATATCCTTAATCTCCTCAAAAGTTGGAGCTCTCCCTTCTAGACCCATAATCTCTTTTCTTAATTTCTCAAGGACTTTCTGTTCACGTGAAAGTATCATGAAGAGAAGGGTAAGTAAACTTGCAGTAGTATCACGTCCGGCGAGTAGAATGTTGAGTAACTCTGCTTGAATCTTGGAGGCACTGTAGCCGGATTTGGCGAGTTGCTCAAGAAAGATGTAGCGTTCTTGATCTGTGGATTCGGATTTTTGAGAAGGGGCAGAGATCTGAAGAGCGAGGGCTTTGTCTACGTAAGTGCGGACGTAGGAGTGGACATATTTTATAGAATCTTGGTATCTTTTGTTGGGGAAGAGAGTGGCTAGTTTACCCACTGATTATTGGTCAGTATCTTGTGTTCTTTTTGTGAAGCATGACGGGTAACAGGGGAGCGCTTAGAGATTTAGGTTTTGCTTACGACGAACTTGTTTGCCGGTTTGTTCGGCAAGCTGTAAAAGTTAGCACAATTACTCTTAATAGATGCTAATAGAGCTCACACTTACATAATCATAAGCTTCCGAGTATCTATGCCCAGGTGAATCGACCTTTGTTTCATCCAAGGTCTCTGTACTTTCACCGAAAAGGAATTCCGTAGCTAAATCTCCAATATCAGTACATCGCATCCCATCCTCTCACCATCCATTCCTCCTCTCTACCCGAAAAATAAACTCACCCGAATCAATCGTCAGCATAAAAAACAATTTTGACAAATCCACCGTGTTGCCATTCTCCGGGATCCTCTTGATCAATTTCTGAATATGTCTCTCGAAAATATCCAAATCAGCAACCTGACTCCTCACAAAATTCGGCCGCAGCATCGCGCGAGAGTGTTCCCATTCCGTTCCATCCAAGGCGAAAATCCCCTTTCCAAAGATCGGCATCATAGCAGTTTTCCTCCGCAATGGTAACTCGAAATCTTTAAATCCGGTAGCCAATACCGTTTTAATATTTTCCGCATCAATGGTACTGATGGCGTTCGTGCCGAGAAATACAAAGGAAGAAGTGTGTGCACCGAGTGTTTGAAAACGTTTCTGGCTCGTCTCGATGAATGTATCTTCTCGCGCCGCGAGAATATTGGCGACGAAGAGGTCGAATCCGTAGAAGGGATCTTTGTGGGGGTAGGAGGCGGGAGGGAGACAGTGGTTTTTGTTTGGCGACTTTCTTCGCTGGTTGGAGAGGAGGATTTTTTTGGATGAGGGTGTAGAGGAGAAAGGTGGTGCTTAGGATGAGGAAGATGCTGGTTTGAGGGAATTTGCTGGGGGAAAAATGATCCATGATGGATGGATGATTGGTGATCATATTGGTAGATTGTTTGGATGGTTGATGGACGATGTGTTAACTGAAGACTGATGCAGGAAAAGTGCAAGAGCGACCCGGACACGAACGCTAATTTCCCCGGAATAGATCTGCAAAAGGATTGCACAGTCGCCTTTAATCAATCATAGATAGACAAGACACAAACTTCTTGGCACTCAGATAGATGAAAAACTATCTTATTCCAAACCACCTCACAAAAACGCTCAGGGAGAGAAACGTTTCAAGTATGTAGAAGAAGCAAAAGCACTACGTTAGCTCCAGCATTGTGTTGATGTGGGCGGTTCTTATACTTAAAAAACATTTTAGACTTACTAGTCTTGTAAAGTGCTACCTGCCCCTCACAATGTCACTCCACTATATACCGATCGGTCCTCGGTACAGTAATAGTCCTTGTGGAAGCCAGACCAATGAACCCACATATTATCAATCAAACCAATCCAATTGAATTAGATGCATGCCCGATATCTCCTGTATCCAGTAGATTCTTTTATCTATTGGTGGTGCGAGGAGTACAAGCATTATTGAAGAAAAGAAATGCCGATCGCTGGAGTTAAGAAAGTCCAACCCGACTGCGAAGGGTATCACATCAAGTCAGCTTCCTCGAATCAATGCCCACCTGCAGTCACTTATGTCAAATTTAGATTAGATCACGTAAACAATGGTTCTCGTCATTTTCATTTTCAATCTCAAAATGTCAGTTTATTGTATTTACATTCATCTCAAATACATTTAGTAAAAGGTGACCCTATCACAACACAAGAAAATGTAGTTAAAAAAGATTCCCGCATCCGTCCATCCATCCCATCCATCTACCCACGCTTCACCTACCCCTATGCATTTGGGGGGGATAAAATGATAAATGCATCCCACAATACAAGAAACAATTTCGCATAGCACCGTCTGCCCACCCGCTACCATAGTGCACTAATAAGCCCCCTAAAGTCCATCGAAAAATAATGGCCAAAAAATAACTCCTTCGCCTGAAAAGATATCATTAACTTAAACCCCAAAGAACGATAAACAATGGTGACGACGGAGACGGAAGGAATTATGAAAATTGATGAAAGGATGAATGGGTAGACGAATGAAGAAAAGTATGACAAATGAGATAGGGTTGGAAGTTGTCCTGGCAGCCGTTAGACATTCTTTGCCGAAATGAAGGGAAAACGGATCTTGTTTGTTTTGTCGAGTTAGGCGAAAGTAAAATTCAAGAAGAGGCATGAGTTCGTAAAAGTTATTTAAGATTGTGATTGCATCTAGAAAATTGATCGATGATTAAAAAATTATGTCTGTTGAGTTGGTTCGGTTGGCCTTTGGCTCGTTCGGCTTGGAGCACGATGTGTCTGTCCATAGGAGCCTGATGCCGCACTCATAGTTCGGCGACCTTTCGGAGTTTCATGATGAAGATGACCAACATCGTGTTTGCCTATTACCAAGTTAGATAAATCTTTAAATACAACATTACAAGTAACACTTACCATCGCAACATGCTCGTACGTTCTCTAATCTGTCAGATTCCCGATCCTCTCTTTCGATTTGTTCTCTTAAATCCTCAGCGCTATCGTGAACCTCACTAGCTTCGTAGATACTTTGGGCTCCATTAACACTTCGGCTTCTTCGACCAGAGAAAGATCTGTTTCCATCACCAGGCAATAGGTAATTGCTAAGTCGAGAGAAAGTGTTTGAAGCCAAAGTTGGTCTTGAAGGTCGTGATGTTAATCGAGGATGCATAGTAGAATATCTTCTATCCTTGCTTATTGGCGAGTCATTACGAGTAGTTCTACTGTTGTATGATGAAAGGGATGGAGCTCCTCGTCTACTACCTAAGTGCGCATGACCATATCCAGGATTGAACTCATCAACATCTTCGCTTGTCAGCGCTCCCGAGACTTCAACAGTATCAGTCACAGCATCTTCTCCTGTGCGCAGAAGCAAGTATGAGAGTGCGTTGAACCAAGTTTCATGACGTTGTCCTGTGCTGGCAGTGAATTGAACAGTCCGACCAGGTGTTAAGATAACCAAGCTCTTACGATGCAATCCAGGTGGCATGGGATTATCATCAGTTACAACTCGAACAGCTTCGATGGCTACACTCTTTGCCTTTAGCTCCGAACGACCAGCAGTTGAAGGATCTCTATCACTCCAATACAATGTTCTTGTATATGGATGAACCCAGAAATAACGTCGATGACGATTTTCTGACATTCCACCACGACCAGCTTTGCGAGTATATTTCCAAAGATATTCACCGATCATAGTTTGAGTAATAGCATTTATCATCCTTGGATCGGTACTTGGCTCTACGCCTTGTGGCATTGGAACTCCAGCACGTAGATTGAAGCGAGTATCCACCTCAGAAGCGAATGAAGACACCGAGGAGTGTCTTGATCTTCCTGTGCCAGTTGGAGAGTGTACTTCGCGCTCAGTAGATGGGTTTCTATATTTTGAAGTTGATATTATCTTCATGGATCCATGAGCTTGAGAACTTGGGGTCTTGGGTCGATTCTTATGACTAGATGGTATTGGAGGAGGTCCCATAGCACCTGTACCTGCGCTAGTTGAGGATCCGGTACGTTTCGGTTGTTCTTGTTGTTGTTGTTGGTCTTCAGGGAGTGTAGTGAGATGTCTGTGGTCACCTGACCCATTTGCAGAACCTGTACGTTGAGCAGCAGCAGCAATGACTTGCTTATGATCTGAGGGTAGAGGTGGGTGAATGCTTGTGATTGATGCATTCCTACCACTTCCGGAACTTGTAGGTCTTCTCGCAGCCATAAAATCTACAGAAGATTCCGTGTCAGGACTCTTTGCTTTTGAACGACCAACGCTGCCAATACTCTCTTGTGACTTGTGGGTTTTGAGGGCTCCAGGGATGCTAATAGCGTGTAGCGAAGAGTGAACATTAGACTTCGGTCCGTCCTCCGCGAGGATGGTATCCTGTCTCTTACTCTTGTTGAGCATTTGGTCGATTTGTTCTGCGGTCAAAGCAGTTTGGGAACTTTCGTCTGTCATCTCAACACGAGGTTTCTTGATAGATCGTTCGGTGGCATTGCCCGATACTGGTTTGAATGGTCGTTGAGATTCTGGTGTTTCTGCCACTGGTGATTGACTTGGCGATTGACGAGTTTCATCCTCAGCAATAATTGGCGCACTAGACTGCTTTTTGTTCCAACCACCAAAAACGGAACTCATGAAGCCAGTCTTTGGCGTATGTGGCTCATCTCTTGACCTGGGCTCCTCTGATTTGATTTGATCTATAGATTTACTCTCTACAATAGGAGATATGGCTTCTGATTTATCTTCAACAGATTTACTTTCCGAAGCTGGGAATGTAGAGAGCAGAACACCATCTCTCTTTGGACTTTTTGGAGTAGGTGGTGCAATAGGTTCTGTATCAACCGATTGGATGGTAGAGAAGCCCAAACCTGGAGACATTGAAAAGTAATCGGGTCTTGGTGAGCGTTTTGGAGTAGATGGGAGAACATCAGGCAGAACATCAGGTAAAGTAGATGGTTCTGAGCAAACGTCCTCGATAACAATTGGCTCGAAGTGTTCAGATTGAATAGTGGACATCGTCAATGGCTCAATCGGAATCGGCTCGGCGTTGATCTGCTCTGAATGAATCGTGGATAATGTCAGTGGAGCAGCCTCTATTGGTTCAATTTCTGGAATTGTTTCAGCTTCAATGTGTTCAGATTGAATTGTAGATATCGTCAATGGATTGGTACTCGATATTGGAGGCGATGGGAATTTGTCTAATTTTTCGTCAATGAGTTCATTGTCGTATTGTGAACTCATATCGCTGTATGTTGTAGACACTGGCCGTGTTACATCATGTTGTGGTTGAACCTTTAGTAATTCATCTGCTTGCTGTTTCATTTGGTCATCGTGCCATTGATGAGCAGCATCAGACATTGGTGGTCTATCCGGATATTTTGAAGAAACAAGATAAGCTTCTTCCCTTGGGTTAGACTTAGTCGCCTCAACTTCTGGGGAAATTTCAGATGCCTGTGGCTCGATTTGTGGATGTGAAACTATTGGCTGACCTTCCTTTGTCAGGGGCTCATCATTTGAAGCATCGATTGTAGGTTGAAGAACTTGAGATTTAGATTCAGGTTCAGGTGATATGGCTCGATCATGTTCTTTGTTGAAATCTAATGCGGCCGCAACACCACCAGCAGCCCCAAGTGCGGCACCGGTAAGGCCTGACAATATCGGCACACTTGTCGTTTGTGTATGCGGCTCTGGCTCCCAAGGATCGGTCATCATAGCAGAATCGATCATTGGTATTCTTGGTACTGGTGGTATAGTAATCGCAGCAGAAACATTCCTAGCGGTGCTTGGCCTCGATGATTGTGGAGTATTACCCCTTGATGCATAGCGACTAGGAGGACCAGAAGCGACAGATTCATCATCACTTCCTAATTCGCCCAATTCTGCAAACAAGCTTTGTCCAGCCGGTTTAGGAGTACCGTGATTACTATCGACAAATTCAATTGGACTTTCCGCTTTAGCATCATCGCTAGCAACACGTGAACGTCGATTTCCATTACGGCTGACTTTAAGTCTTAGTCGTTGTGGGTGGATACCAGGTGTCTTTGCATCTTCGTACACGTACTCATCCTCAGACGTTGAAGCAGTGCTTTGGAAAGAATCACGGTTACCAGCCTTCGACAAAGCAATAGATTGACGTGAAGCCTTCGCTCGAATAGTTCCACCCTTCTCTGTTTCTGTGTCTGTGTCATCCGCGCCAGTCATATCTTCTACGCCAGTTTGGAAGTCTTCTGTCTCTGTAGAACGTTCATTTGCCGTTTCAAAAGCATCACTTTGTTCGGTAGAGCTTCCGAAAAGGTTATGAGAAGACTTAGCAATGCCAGCTGCCATAGAAGCTGCAATAGCGGCTCCAGAAATAGCGCCCATAAAGCGAGAACCACGACTGGGACTTGGTTGTTCATGATCATCCTCCCAGTCAATGTCCTCAAAGTGATCTTCTTGATCCTCTTCAATCAAGACTTCACTTCTACTATTCCTAATACCACCAAGTTGACCCACCTTAAATGGCTTCTTGGCTTGAATGGGGCCATTCTTTCGAGCTCTTCTCGGTCCAGGGGAGTCCACCTGTGGTTCGCCTCGGCGCGAAAACCTCAATTTCGTCTCTAGCCTCTTGCAGCATACGCTTTAGTTCCAGCTTTTCAGTTTTCTCTCTGTGAATGTTATACCTTGAGATTTTTGAATCATTCTATGGCGTTGATGAAGAGAGCTCTTCAAAGTTTCGGATTCTAGCATGCTATGTCTAGGAGTCATTTTGATCGGCGATGGAGGCGGAGAATGTTCAGGGGTATTGTTATCAGTTGTTGTCTGAGGTTCTTCCTCGCCACTGCCATGAGACGCCTCGCCTTCTTCCACTCGTCCTCGATGATGT